GATGTAAGTATTCGTGCATGCATACATGTAGACAGACAGACACACACACACACAAAGATCTTGTGAAGTGTCATTCATGGTGAGAGATGGTCTTTTAAATAAATGGCTATGGACCTTTAATATGAAAAAATGCCAAGTTACTTTATACAGCATAATTTTAAGTCAAAATGGTCCAAACCCCTAAGCAGGAAGACCTAAAACTATAAAAACAGTAAGAAGGAATGAGATAAAAAGATCATGACACTGGGTTTGGCAATGATTTCTTGCTTTAGGACATTAAAACTCAACAAAGGAAAAAGTAGATAAATGGGACTTCCTCAAAATTAAAGACATGGGTGCCCGGAAGGATCCTATTAACAGTGAAATGGTGACTTGTGTAATTGGAGAGGTTTGGATACATGATAGGGAACTAAAGGCCAGGACAGTGAAGCCACTAAAAGTGTGAAGAGGGGGCTGCAGATGTAGCTCAGTGGGTGAGTGCTTACCCAGCATTCACAAGGGCCAAAGAATGAGGTCTAGTGTTGAAAAACAAAAAAAAGTACAGACTAATTAAACAGACATTTCTATAGAGAAGATACACAAATGACCACTAACTGTGTCACCACACAAATCTATAAAGGTGGAGAGTTACACAAAACTAACAGTAAAACAGTGAAAAGGGGGGGTCTGTATAAGCTGGTGAGATCTGAATAGAGCTGGGGGTTCGTATTAAGGTCAGTTGTTAGTTGGAGATGTTAGACACTGGTATGTTGGGGATTGCAGTGGGGAGATAGCATGATGAATAGACAGGGTATCACTCTATTATTCCATACGGCTGTGTGAATTTGCAATCATTTTAAAAGGGAAGAAAGCATAGTCTACGTGAAGTACTTTGGAAGCAGCACCGAGATAGGTCTGCTGCAAGCCAAAAGTACAGCCATTCACAAACGTCTCCAAGGCATTTCTTCATGCTAAGAAAGGCCAATTTTCATCTAACCTCAGGCGGATATAGAGAATGTTTCCCATAATTTAGACATAAGTCGTCCTAGGAGAGTTAAGCTAGTAATAAAAATAATAATAATTTAGAAATCTTGGTCATGTTAGATTTTTCTAAAGCAAAACGAACCAGTAACACAATGAAAAATAACAAAACATGCCCTTCATGGCGAGGGAAACCTGAGAACCTGGGCTTTGGGGGGCTCAGACAGGAAGTCTGTATTTTGGCCAGCCTGGGCTACATAATGAGACTGTCTCAAACCAAACCAAAACACAAACAATAACAAAAAAAATGAGGGAAGGGCTAGTGAGGCAGCTCAGAGGTTAAAGTGTCTGTTGTGCAAACACAGGGACCTGAGATTGCATCCCCAACACCCAGGTGAGAATCCACACCTGGTCACACTCACCTCTGACCCCAGCACAGGAATGGGATGAGGGCAGAGAGGCAGGTGGATCCCAGAACTGCCAGCCGGTCTAGCTGAATTAGTGACCATCAGACTCAGGGAGAAACGCTGTCTCAAAAAAATAAGATGGAGAGTAATAGAGGAAAACACTGATGTCAACCTGTGGCCTTTACATGTGTGTGCGCCCTTGCCCACATGCAGAAATAACGCAGAGAACATCTGTGGCTCAGTGGAAGAGCATATCCCATCACTAAAAAAAAAAAAAAAAAGATGAAGTCTCAAGAAGGCAGACTTCAACTATTGAGATGTTAAGATTTTTTTTGGAAAGTCATTTGAAGGAAAAAAATTACTACCAGAAAAGCTATTTTTGCCTTTCTAGAAAAAAAATGGTACCTGGAGAAGAAAGTATTGTCCCGAGTCCTGATCTGCAGATAGGAGCCCAGCCCTAACACATGGACCCATCTGCTTAGCCACGATAGCTACAGCACTTCCAGAATGAGATTGTACGTGAGACTCTTTACCTGTACCACCAACGGTCCTCAACACACCCCTACAAAGTAGACATTGTTCCACCATTAAACTAAGGTGTTAGAGGTGGGATAGCCCATCAGAGATCACGAGCTAGTGACTGGCCAAGTGGAGTCTCACCCTGAGTCTGTCCATGCCATTTCTGTCCCACCGCCTCTTTCAAGGAAATGATTGCAGACAGCTAGCTTGTTGCCACAGTCCTAGAGTTGACTGGTAAACTCTTTTCATGTACCTCCCCACTCCCGAGCTCTGATTTCCCATAGTCCCGGTAGAGGGGCCAATGGGCGGGTCCATTTGACTGTTCTGTTCCTGTCCATTTGCAGGTTGGTATTCTGATTCTGTCACCTGTCTAATTCAGGCATGGTGAATGCCTCTTGTACTGCCTGGGTAAATTGTCTGTGCTGTTTCAGCTCACCAAGGAGCTGGCTCAAGAGCTAGGAGTTGACCCTCTCACTTCAGACACAAGATGATTTATCTCAGAGTACCCTTTCAGACTCCCCTGCCCTGGGTCAGGCCACTCCTCGACGCTGGAACAGGTTGAAAATAGAAAAAGAAAAAAAACTCAAAGTGCAAAGAGAAATCGCTGTGTCTTTGAGAGCAGCTAAAAAGGCTGTTGTATCTCCTTAACATAAAATGCCTGTAAGGGGGAATTGCTGAGGGGAATCTTCTCTGCCTAAATTTCCCCAGTTGATGACTCTGCCATCATGGTTCAATGTTGTCAACGTTCGTTAGAAGATGTTTGTATCTTCTTCTCTCTTCTTGCATCTCTATCTGCTACTCGGGCTCCTTCAGAACCAAAAGCATAGCGATGGAAGATCTTTATTCGAACTATGAAAAAAACAAAAAGACTTTTTCATTGTCCTGTGTTTCCTATGGGTCTTGCCTGGGAACTTGCAAAGTCTCATAGTCTAACAGTATATATACAGCTAATATTAACTTATTACATTATGTTGTATGTGTAGTTTGGATTCAACTCTCTTTTAATGTGATGATAAATCTCCTTGTTAATGTTATTGTGTCTCGTGGTATTAAGAAAAAAATAAAAGGGAACCAGTAAATAGGAAAAAATGGTAGAAAAATGTAAGAATTGAGATGATTTTAGCAATGCCAACCTCACCCAGCAGGAAAGCGATACATGAACCACAGCTTACCTTCTCTACCCATTTCTAGAAGCCAAAGTCAAAGGAATATTAGCCATGGCCAACTTCATTTTTGAAAAGTTCTTATAGTTTGGTTAAATAGTAGCAATTTCCACCAACCACAGTGTTAAGCATTCCAGAACAAAAGCCTAGATTCCTGCACACCCCATCCCTGAAGACCCTTGATATTGGCTGTCCATAACAAATGTTCTTTGGTTACCTGGAAATTTTTTCAAGATTCTGTGTAGTCCTGGATATCCTGGAACTCATTTGGTAGACCAGGCTGTCCTCTAACTCAGAGATCCACCTGCCTCTGCCTCTGGAGTGTTGATATTGATATTAAAGGTGTGTGCCATCACTGCCCAATGGAATTCTTTTACTTACCATTCACCATTTTGATGTCACTCCTAGTGACAGTCAATCTTGAGCCAAAATAAAAGGGGGAAGGAGTTTTCACCCTCAGTCTCCATACCCTGCTTCTGCCCTGTAACCAGCTCAGTTTGTAAGCATTTGGAGGCTCTGATTTTACAGACACCTCCTCTTTCAGGTTTCCCCCAATAAGGACCTTCGCTGTCTTAAAAAAAATGTGGTGTCCCTGTGATGGCTTGTTGCTAGAGGTTTCTGTCCCACCAGGTCTCATCGCTTCAATCTCAAATGAACACACAGAGACTTATATTAATTATAAAAGTATTGACGGATGGCTGGAACTTCTTATTGGCTAACTCTTTCTTAATTATTAACCTTTATCTACTAATCTATGTATTTCTACATGGTCTTATCTTACCAGAGAATGCCTAGCACATCTTATCTTCCCAGTCTCTACATGGCATCTCTTCACAGTCTCTTTCTGCCTACCTTTCCCAGAATTCTCCTTGTCTCCTAGTCCTGCCTATTTTCCTGCCTCTATTGGCCATACAGTGTTTTACTCATCAACCAATAATAGAAACACATATACAGAAGGATATCCCCCATCAATGGCTAGTGTGTTGCTGTCAAATTGACACAATGTAGACTCCGCTGGGGTAGGAGTATAAGTGGGGAAACGTCGGGGACTGTGCTGGCGGCCTGAGAGCATGACTGTGAGAGTTTTAGTTGGGTCATTTGAGGTGGGAGCACCCAGCCTGAGTGTGGCCAGCACCATTTCATAGATGGGGCCCAGGATTGAATGAAAGGGAGAGAGCAAGCTAAACATCAGCACACATGCATTAGTCCATTGCTCTCTGCTCCTGACTGTAATGTCTGTAATCTGTTCTCTTGGACTCTTGCTGCTGTGACTTCCCCATAACAATAAACAGTGACCTGGAACTGTGAGCTACAACAAACCTTCTCTCCCTCCATTGCTTTTATCGGGACATTTTGTCACAGGAAGTGAAGCTAAGTCACCCCAAATACCCAGTGTCTGTCATTTCTCTCATGTGCTTATTGGAGCTAATGCATTGTTTTGCAGGGTGTTCACCTTGAGAATCTACTGAAACAGCTGGATAGCATGCCACTGGGGAAGTCAGATTTGTAAAACATCATTTCCCCTGATTTACTAATTAGTTAGTAGCCATTTGTTTCTAACACTCTTCTATAGACTTAAGTACATGTAATATTCATCAGGCCATTTATACTAATAGTCACTCTAGAAGTACCTAACCCTTCTACACTCCACATCTCAAAGTGCTTTGTCCCTTCTTAAACATATCACTGCTTTTATGAAGCTGAACATTTTCATGAAAACCCTCCCATCGGGTCACAGTTAAGATCAGAAATCTTTAAGCTAGTACCAGACAATGATGGCCTATCTTAATCCTGGGATTTCCTGAGAAGGTAGCAGTAATAGCAGATTTGAATTGTGGTTTTATAAAATACCTGGGTTTTGTTTGTTTGTTTGTTCTCATTTGGACTGTCCATCTTGAAGAGTTGGGTGGACTCGTGCCTTCATTATTAATACTCATTCATTTGGTTTCAGTGGTACAGACATGGATGGGAAGAAATGCAGCGTGTGGATGTTTCTACCTCTTGTATTCACTTTGTTCACTTCAGCTGGCTTATGGATAGTGTGAGTACACTTAGTTAATAACTTAAGACTTCAAGTGAAATGTAGAGAAAACCCAAGTTTTGGTACTAGGACATAGTTATATAAATGTATTTATGAATAACATATATATATATCAAATGATTAGTTTTTCAAATAAACATATATGCTATTTCAGCTTTACTAAAGCCTCCATTTTTCTCATCCTTTATTACTTAAAGTAAAATAACAAAACTGAATAATAAATCATTTAAAACAGGTAAGTCTGTCTTTAGAGAAAAATGTGCTCTCCCTGTGATGGCTAGTGGTGAAGACTGGTTTTGTCTTCTCCTTTTCCTTCCTCTCCCCCTTTGACCCCACCTCCCAACCCAACCTCCTTTAGCACAAGGCCTTACTCTATGGACTAGGCTGGCCTTGAACTTGCAACAGTCCACCAGCCTCTGCTCCCTGCATGTGGAAATTGCAGACATGCTCCACCACACAGCCATTTGTTCTCAAGAAGCTTTCTTTCCTTTTAGGCAGAGTTTCACTGTATAGGCTGCTGGGAAACCTGTTCTGGAATGACTGGCTTATACCGCTGTAACGCATGTTTTGAAAACTGGTTATCTGAGTTCATATTTGCAAGATTTTCTCATTTGACACCCATGTGCTGTGGGCTCCATTGGCAATCTAGTTGTGACTAGGTCTGAGGTGTTTATAAAATAGGTATCGCTACACTGTAAGACCTGGCTCACCACCAAAAACAAGTTCCATAGTTGCCAATGTTAATTAACATTTCTTAAGAAAACTCATGAAGAACGGTTTTAGTGGACTGGGACTGCAGGTCAGTGAGAGAGAGAGAGCGCTTGACTAGACTATGACTCTGTTTTAGCTACTGTTCTATTGCTGGGAGAAAACACCATAGCCAAGGCAACTTACATAAGAAAGCATCTGATTTGGGGCTTCCAGTTTCAGAGGGTTAGAGTCCATGATTGCAGAGCAAGGGCATGGACACTAGAAAAGCTGGGAGGACACATCTTCATCTGCAAGTAGGAAGTAGAGAGAACCAGATGGTACGGTGTGAGTCCTTTCAACCTCACAGGACACATCTCAGTGACACCTCCCTCCACAAGACCACACCTTCTAATCCTTCCCAAACAGTTCCACCAACTGGGAACCAAGTCTTCATTCTCGGTCAAACCACCACAGGCTTGATTACCAGAAAAGGAAAAATGGTAGTCACGCATTCCTGAGAAATTTTATTACACTTATAATGTCTATCCCCCACCCCCAGTTTTCAGATTATAATTATCACTATTAGTTTGGGGTCCCTTTTGAAAGTTGTTTAACTCTTTTAAGGAGATTTTTGATGGTGCATGTGTCTCTGTGTGGGTATGCGCATGTGAGTGTAGATGCATGTAGAGGCTGGAGGTATCAGATTCCACTGGAGCTGTAGATACAGGAGTTGTGAGCTACCTGGCATGGGGGCTGAGAGCCGAACTCGGGTCCTCTGGAAGAATAGCACATACTCTTACCTGCTGAGTCACGTCTCCAAGTCCTGATAATCAGAGCATTTGAGCTTTAACGCACTAGTGACCTTTGAGTAAAGAATTGCAATTGGCATGGTTGTGGTGATGCAAACCTATAATTCCACACTTGGAAGACTAAAGCAGGAGGATCATAGGTTTTAGGCCCCAGCCTGATCTACATAACAAATCCCGGGCCAGCCAGTATTACAATGGATCCTGTCCCCAAAGAAAACTAAATGTTGTTAAAGATCTTTTTTCTGTTTTCTGGTTAGTTGGTTGGGTTTTTTGAGAGTCTCATGTAGCTCAGGCTGGTCTTGCACTCCCTATGTAGGTGATCTTGAATTCCTGATCCTACTACCTCCATATCCCAAATATTGGAAATAGAGTTGTACATGTGCAAACATGCCTAGATAAAGAGCATTTTCTTAGTTAGAATAATGGATATGACATATATCCATGATATAGATAAATTAGATATTTAACCCGATTAAAACGAGAAACAATTCTTAGGGTTTTTTTGTTTTGTTTTGTTTTTGCTTTAAATTGTTTTGTTTTGTAAACTGGTCATTCTTTCTTGCTAGGTACTTTATAGCTGTGGAAGATGACAAAATTTTGCCATTAAATTCAGCTGCAAGGTAAAGATTACGCCTAGAGAATTCACTTTTCCCCCCATAGAGTTAGCAGCGACTTTGCCTTAACCTGTGCCTCTGTGTTTTTTGTTATCTAGGAAATCTGGTGCGAAGCATGCCCCATACATCAGGTAACTCTGATTCCACCCGACCTGTTGAACTTAAGGAAAGTCCATGTCAGATCCACAGTTTCAGATTTGAGTGCCAGCCTCTAAGGCTACGTCTTTTTCCAGTTTTGCAGGCGACGATCCTCCCGCGAGCTGTGTGTTCAGTCAAGTCATGAACATGGCTGCCTTCCTAGGTAAGATGAGCAGGAACAACACCTTGTGGGCTCTGCTACATTTCTGTTTTAAATCCTCCTGAGTCCGTATCAAGACCGTGGGGGAGCTGGCTGATAATATAGTACCTTGTGGTGTCGTATGCTGAAGGCAGCTGTTTGCTTTAAGGGCTGTTTCCCCGTCGTAAATCCTTCTGCATCCCCCTGCCTCCTCCCCACCCTCTTCCCTTTACTATCTTTATCTGGCTCTTCACACTCTGAACTTTATTTCTTTTGCTGTGGGAGATAACATTCTTCAGATGTCATAAAGTCTAGCTGAGATGGTGACAGGATGCCTCGTGGTACCTTTGAAGAGGCCGCCCTATTTATTCCTTCCCTGGTGAAGATGGGTGTAGCAGGCTTACTTTGGGGAAAGCCAATCAGCCCCCAAATCATGACATGGAGACTTATTATTAGTTATGAATGCTCAGCCTTATCTTATGCTTGTCTTACTAGCTCTGACAATTTAATTTAACCTGTTTCTTTTCCTCTACCTTGCCTTGGGGCTTTTTATCTTTCTTTTATTCCTGCTTTCCCCATGTCTGTCTGTCTGGCCTCAGTGTGTCCCTCTTTTCCTCCTTTGTTCTCTTCTTTCTCTTCGTACTTATTCTCTCTGCCCTACCAGCCCCACCTATCCCTCCTCTCCCTAGCTATTGGCTGTTTAGCTCTTTATTATTAGACCAATTAGGTAGGCAAGGTGAAACAGCAACACATCTTGACGTAATTAAATAAATGCAACACACCTTTACATAGTTAAAGCAATATTCCACAACACATAGAAATGTAACACATCTTTGCCTAGTTAAAGTAATATTCCACAACAATGGGAAAGTAGGTAGGCTCTGTGATGCGTATTTCCATTAACACTGACCCTAGGATGACCTCCTCCTGTGTGCCCACATACATGTCAAGCTGCCATCTGAAAAGCAGGTTTAAGAAAAAGACCCTCCTTTAACATCCTGTTCCCCAGGATCTGCAGGTACTTACGGGACCCTGTGAATCCTCTGGAGATGGTGGGAGCCAGCCATGCTCTTTTTCTCTTGTTGAATCTACCTTGTATAGCCTTTCCTCCAAGTCAGGCCCTCTGGGCATCTTGTCAGCTAGGTGCCATTGTTGGCATGATGTTGGGAGAGGACTAGGAACAGTACAACACCCCCAGATTTTTGACGGAACATTTTTGATTTTTGGGGGTTTTGGTTTGGTTTTTTTTGTATATCGAGACTTCCATTGCTAGCAAAAGATACCAATAGATAGCACTGCAAAGAAAGTACCACTTTCGCCGGGCGGTGGTGGCGCACGACTTTAATCCCAGTACTCGGGAGGCAGAGGCAGGTGGATCTCTGTGAGTTCAAGGCCAGCCTTGTCTACCCAGTGAGTTCCAGGACAGGCTCCAAAAAAAAAAAAAGAAAGAAAGAAAGAAAGAAAGAAAGAAAGAAAGAAAGAAAGAAAGAAAGAAAGAAAGAAAAAAAACAACAAAAATAGAAAGTACCACTTTTTGTTGTCCTTATTCCCTATATCCAGACAGTTCATTTACATATAGAGCCTTCCCTTTCTACTCCAAAACAATTTCCTACTCATACCTAATGTGTCCCCCTCCCCACACACACATACTTTGAGTGAGATAGGGTTTTATGTAGCCCAGGCTGGCCTTAAACTCACTATGTAGCTCAGGATGACCTTGAACTTCCTGCTTTTACCTGGGATTGCAGGCATGCACCACCATGCCCAGTTTCTATGGTTCTGGAGATGAAATCCAGAGCTTTGGGCATGGTGGGCAAACATTCTACCAATTGGCCCACAACTCCAGCCTTGTGTATATTATGTCATCATCATAATTGTTATTATTCCTCCTTGAACCAGGATCTAATTTAGCCCAGGCTAGCCTTGAATTGATTATGCAGCAGATGACTTTAAACTCCTGCTCTTCCTGTCTCCATCTCCCAAGCATTGGATTAAAGCCATGTATACTTTTTAAAGATTTATTTATTTCTAATGTATGTATATGACTTGTGTCTACACGCATGTATGTGCACCACTTGCATGCCTGGAACTCATGGAACTTGGAAGGAGGTGTCGGATGCCCTGGAACTAGAGCTTCTGACAGTTGTGAGCCAGAATGTGGACGCTGGAATCCAACCAGGTCCCCTGCAAGACCAGCAAGTGCTCTTAGCTGCAACACCACCTCTCCAGCCCCGATGTATGCTTCTGAAAGAATGTTTAGGAAAGGGAAGACCTGTTGAACTCACTGGAAGATTGCTGGTCCAGTGTGCAACACGGGCAGAATCTCAGTTGGTCCAAAAAGCTCAGACCATGAGGAAACAAGAGGGACTCTGAAGTTCACAAAGGTTTTCCCTGGAGCTAAATGTATTCTTGTCAATGCCTTTTCCTGCGCAGGTGTCACCTAATGTGGAAGTGTCTGCCCACAAGCACCAGAAGGTCATGATGCTGGGCCACATGCTAGGTCACTGACTCCTTAGAGCAACCTTTCCTTCCAGCCCTTGACCACGAGGGTTTCTGTGTCTCAGATGGTCACAATATTTAAGGACACAGCACTCAGCAGCAAGTACCTACGTGTGACCAGGGTTGGTCTTCCCAGATTTTAGCCTCATAACTGCCAGTTTTACACTCCTTTTCCCTTCTCTTGACAAATACCTGTCTAAAAACACCCAAGCCAGGCATGGTGGCATGTGCCTTTTTAACCCAGAAATCTGAAGGCAGAGGCAGATGGATATCTGAATTCAGGGTCATCCTGGTCTACATAATGAGTTCCAGGTCAAGCTGGGCTATGTAGAAAGCCTTTGGTTACAAATAAGTAATAACCGGCCGGGTGTTGGTGGCGCACGCCTTTAATCCCAGCACTCGGGAGGCAGAGGCAGGCGGATCTCTGTAAGTTCGAGACCAGCCTGGACTACCAAGCGAGTTCCAGGACAGCCTCCAAAGCCACAGAGAAACCCTGTCTCGAAAAAACCAAAAAAAAAAAAAAAAAAAGTAATAACCTAGTAAGTACACTCATACCATGGCCTAAGAGGCTACTAACAAATTCTCACAGTTAACAGAGCACAAAGCCCCAAGAGTGAACTTGAATGGCAGGGTCGGGGCCTTCCACAGACCCTCTGTAATCACAGTGCATAGGCCTGCAGGCTGCCAGCCTCTGCCGTAAGCATCCCCTAGGGCCCAACACAGACATTAACAACCGTGATGTCTACCCCAGAGCCACGGCTGAGTGCTCTCCAAACACTGCTTCATTTCATCACAACACACAGGAGTCCACTTTCACGAAAACACTGTCACAGGCTGTCCTCCACTGGGCTTTAAAGAAACCAGTGAGCATGCCGCAAGCTACACGTTGTCTCCTTTGCATCCTATGAACAAATTGATATTTCATAGTAGCGTTCGGTACAGCATCTAAAAATGGCCGGTTTGCACACTTCGCAAGCCACACCGTCATGAAGCCTGTGGTTAACCAATTATAAACGCATTTGCAGACGCGAGCAGTGCGAGCGAAGCCCCGCTTCCAGGTGACATCCATCACCATCTGATTCTCTCCCTCTCCCTGCTTCACCAAGAAGCAATTAAGCTCGTGCCAGCTTTTGCTAGAAGGTACCGCAGCAGCCAGTGCTTGGTCTTTATTATCTCTCATCATGTTTGATGCCATCTGGTAGACACAAAACTGATTAAGATGAGTGTTCAGTGAGAGCAAGGCAGCAATTACTTATTTATCAACTCTGAGAGTGGAAAAAGAATCCATTTCTTCCGAAAGATTATTGCTATTTATGGCGGGTGCTTTCTTCTCCCCTGGCCGGTCCCTGGCAGACCCCAGGCTATCACCTTTATGCTCTCCAAATGCCTTTAAAAATAGCATTCACTGCTTACAAGTCACTGTTTTTGACAGCAGTATAAAGTGTAATTTATAGTCTAAAAAGGGGGGTCCATGTGGCGCTTATTAAAATTAGTTAGCAAAGGTCTTTTGTCTTTTTGACAGGCTAATCAAAGATTAAATGCTGGGTTATTTTCTTCAGAGAATGAGCTGCGTTCTTCGTCCTAAACGTACACTTTCCTCTCCACTAGTGGGAAGGACCCAAGACAAATGTGTCAACAGGAACGTTTTCCCTTGGCCTGGGGAGGATGGGAGGGAGGGTAAAGCTAATCGCTACATAGTTTCAGTTACCTAATGTGACCGCTTCCCTCCTTCAGCCAAAACATGCTGGCTGGCTTGCTTTACCCCAGCCATAAATAGGAATCATTGATACATACACAGCAAAGCCAGCAAAACGAAACAAACAGAAATTGGCCAGGCGCTGACTCCAGGGCTGCAATGGAAACTCAAATCAGCTTTTAAACACTTCATTTTAAAAGTCAGCTATGTTTCTATTTGTGTTCTTTTTAAAATATGGAAGAAAATTACATAGGGGACACGCAGATAACAACAACACCACCAAAAAAAAAAAACTTACAGAGACTAAAAATAGCAGAGGGGTAGATTTTAAAGTTCTTTTCCAAAGGTGGGCATGGTGACGCACACCTTTAATTCCAGCACTTAGGAGGCAGAGGCAGAATGATCTCTATGAGTTCGAGGCCAGCCTGTTCTACAGCATGAGTTACATACAGGACAGCCAGGACTACAAACAAACAAACCAAAACCAAAACTGTTTCTAAAACTGTTAATAAAAAATCTAAATTTATTACATCTTACTGAGGGGGGTTGGTGTCAGGGGGAGACAGCATGCACATGTCACAATGTGTGTGGCAGTCAGAGGACAACTTTTAAAAGTTAATTATCTGCTGAGATGTGAGTCCTGGGGATTGAACTCAGGTTGCCGGGTTTGGAGGTAAGTGTCTCTACCAAGCCCCAAATTGAACATTTTTAATGAAAAATAAAAGTATATTAATCTATTGGGGCTGGAGGAGGGATGGCTCAGCTGTTAAGAGTACGGGCTGCTCTTCCTGAGGACCAGGGTTCAAGTCCCAGCAGCCACATGGTGGTTCACAACTATCCAGTCCTAGGGAATCTTCACCCTCTTCTGACCACTGCAGGTACTACAAGTGTGTGGTACACGTACATACAGGCAAAAGCACATAAAAACAGTAATTTTTTTAAAGTTTTAAAGTATATCTATTGGTCAGAAAGTAGCTGTGGTGAGAATGAGTCAGCATATGTCATATGAGGATGTCTTTGAAACTGTCATATTCCTAGAAGTTACTTTTATGAAGTTATAACTTGATTACTATTTGGTGAAAATTGACCATTTTTAACAGGTAAATTTGACTGGAGGCAGATTCAGATAATAAATTCCTATAAAGCCAAATCTGCATTAATTCCATCTTTCTAACTAGAATTTATATTACAGGGAGAGATGGTCTCTTGCCTGATTGGCATAGTGGTAGGTCTTTCTCACTAGAATTTATATTACAGGGAGAGATGGTCTCTTGCCTGATTGGCATAGTGGTAGGGGAAAAGGGCAAATCCTGGAATTCGGAATATAACTGTCGAAACTGGGCAAAGTTATTATATCCAAATAGGTTTCTGTTCATGAGAGAGTGACTTCTCACCCATGTTCCAAATAGGAAGACACTGCTCCTAGGAGAGGAACAGGCCCGTGTCTCTAGGCAAGACCTGCATAGTGTCTAAAGCAGCTCAAATCCTCCCTGCTGGCAGGAAGGGCTACCCTGTCAGGTAGGTCAGTGTGAGCAGGAAGGGCTACCCTGTCAGGTAGGTCAGTGTGAGCAGGAAGGGCTACCCTGTCAGGTAGGTCAGTGTGAGCAGGAAGGGCTACCCTGTCAGGTAGGTCAGTGTGAGCAGGAAGGGCTACCCTGTCAGGTAGGTCAGTGTGAGCAGGAAGGGCTACCCTGTCAGGTAGGTCAGTGTGAGCAGGAAGGGCTACCCTGTCAGGTAGGTCAGTGTGAGCAGGAAGGGCTACCCTGTCAGGTAGGTCAGTGTGAGCAGGAAGGGCTACCCTGTCAGGTAGGTCAGTGTGAGCAGGAAGGGCTACCCTGTCAGGTAGGTCAGTGTGAGCAGGAAGGGCTACCCTGTCAGGTAGGTCAGTGTGAGCAGGAAGGGCTACCCTGTCAGGTAGGTCAGTGTGAGCAGGAAGGGCTACCCTGTCAGGTAGGTCAGTGTGAGCAGGAAGGGCTACCCTGTCAGGTAGGTCAGTGTGAGGAGCCATTCTGGGGTCTGGGTTTAGGGTGTAGGCTAAAGTTCTAGCACAATCTGTCCCACAAATTTAAATACCCAGCAGAGAGTTCCCAGGGAAATACTTACCACTAGTCGTCTTTTAAAAATATCCAATGTGATATGTTTGTGTTTTGTCCTCCTGCCATGACATCATACAGTGCTAATTAGCAAGTGTTCCCATAGGGCCCTGGGCTGAGCCCCTCCGTCCTCATATATGGCTTCTTTATTAGCTCTCCCTGTAATTAACACTCTCCCAACTTCTTTCTGTTTGCAGCCTAGAAACAAAGATAGCTTCATGCTTATTCTTATCCCATAGGATACAGTTGTAGTTAATAGACTTCTGGCATAACTCCAGGGATAACTGGTTGGAGAGCTCCTGTCAACTTAGTTATTCTCTGATCAATCATAGACCTTGGCTGGAACATGTACTAAAAGCTGTATCAGGATGAATATTCTGCAGTTTTGTAAATCTTGGTTTATCCATATTCTGATTACAAAATCCAGAAGTGAATCATGTTTTATTCCATTGCTGGGAATGGGAATGAGTCAGAGGTACTTATAGCTTGACACAATGAAGTCTAGCAACCTGAGAAATACAAACATGTGGATGGCTTTTCTCTGTTAATGACTAGAGAGATGAAGGTCTGGAGCCAAGGTTAAGCCCTTAGTAAACAATTTAATTGCTATATAAATGGGGGAATTTCATCTTTCCTGATGAAATACAACATCAAATAGTCATAGGAAGTCATTACTACATTCCCTTATATGTAGATATGATTTAAATTAATCACCAATTACCTTTCATCACTTATAGATTAACTGTATGTATACATGTATACATACACACATGAAACTGTCTCTGCACTAAGTAATAAAAGGTGATTTTTTTTAGGTCAGTGGCTTGAGTGTGGACTGTCCCCAAGGCTTCTATTAGAAGTGGTATTTGAAATCTGACTTTCCCCATTCTGTCCTTTTAAAAATGAGTGATTAATATCATTTGAAAGAATTAATTTTTAGTGAATGCAGTTTATCCAGATGTGGTAACCTCATCCCTGTGTCTCCTGTACAGTAATGACAGGCACCCGCTGGTTTATCCAGATGTGGTCACCTTGTCCTCATCCCTGTCTCTTCTGAACAGTAATGACAGGCACCTGCTGGCTTATCCAGATGTGGTCACCTCATCCCTGTGTCTTCTGAACAGTAATGACAGGCACCGCTGGCTTATCCAGATGTGGTCACTTCATCCCTGTGTCTCCTGTACAGTAATGACAGGCACCCGCTGGTTTATCCAGATGTGGTCACCTTGTCCCCATCCCTGTGTCTCCTGCCCTTTCTATTCTTTTTTTTATCATTTTTTATTTTAATTTTAAATAGCTTGTTTTACATGTCAATCCCAGTTCCCTCTCCCTCCCCTCCTCCCACACTCCCCTTCCCCCCCTCCCTCCCACCCTATTGCCAAATCCTTCCACATAGGGGATATCTAGAGTCTGTCATTTTACTCTTGGTAGGGTCAAGGCACTCCCCTAAGAGTCCAGGCTGAGAGAGCATCTCTCTTTGTGCTATAGGCACCTGAAGACAGTTTGTATACCAGGAATAGACACTGATCCACAGCTCAGGGCCCCATAGTGACCTCGAGTGATCTAAAGGTATAACATCAATTGGCAAGCTAAGCAATAGTGGAGGGACCACCTCGAATGCCCATTCCTGATAATGAACTTGATGTCTATAACCATCCGGGAGCCTTCATCCTGTGACTGATGGAAGCAGAGGCAAACACACAACTAAGCACTGAACTGAACCCAAGGAACCCAGTGACAGAGAGAGAGGAGTGATAAGCAAATTGGCAAAGAATGGGCTGGCAAAACCAGCAGAGACAGCTGATCTGAACAGAGGAGAGCTCTTGGACCCCAGACTGACAGTGGTGAGGCCAGCATGGGACTAATCTGGACCCCCCAAATGTGAGTGTCAGTGAGAAGGCCTGGGCGACCTATGCTGCCCTTTCTATTCTAACCCTTCCCCAAGCTGAAGGAGACTGATCAGCGAGCCCCGGCCATGTTCTTTGTCCCCGTTTGTCCCCGTGTCCTTTGCTTGGTGTCGTGCCTCTGCAGTGCTCCCCAGGCCAGTCTGTCCTTTGCCAGTCTTGTTTTAAGAACCCTGAGAGCAGCCTTGTTAGCCAAACTGTCACCATTGCACTGCCAGAAGAGTCACATTCAGCCTGGATGTGGCACATCCCCTCTGGTTCCTCAAAAGTTAAGAGTAATAAGACATCTGAAAAGTCCAAGCATTGAGTGAAAAGTTTCTTTGAAAGTTGTCCGTCTGTCTGTCAAGAACTACAGGCAACTGAGGAATTGTGAGTGTGGGAAAATGGTCTCCCCAGGGAAGAGCACCCAGTTCAGTTATCCAATACCAAAATGTCAGCCTTGAAAACATACATGCAAGTAGCATTATGCAGACCATGCAGGTTGCATTTATGTATGTAAGAATATGTATATATTTACACACACACACACACTACACACATGCATACATATATGTGTCTTACAATGATTAAGAGAGGAAGCCATGGGTTTCGAGGATAGCAAGTACATGTATAAGGGAGGGCTTGGAGGGAGGAAAGGGAAGGAGAAAATAATTATATTATAATCTCAGAAAAATAAAAGAAATAATAAAGAAAACTTTCTGTGGTGAGGTTTAAAATGTGCTGTGAGAGACACACATGGTCACACATGCCTGTAATTCCACCATTCATTCAGGAGGCTAAGGGGGCAGGATCCTGAGTTTGAGCCTGGACTACATACTGAGTTCCTGGCAAGCCTGAGCTACATGCTGAGTTTCCAAGCCAGCCTGAGCTACATAGGAAGACCTCGTCTCAGAAAACGTTTTCAAAGGGTCTTTTTTTTTTGCACATCATGGTTTTAGACTTCTGTCTTAGTGCAGACATATGATTTACATTCTTTAATTTTAAGATTTGTTTTATTCCAGCCCTTGTGGTAGCCGTTCTGCGCTTCATCCAGCTGAAACCAAAGGTTTTAAACCCATGGCTGAATATTAGCGGATTGGTGGCGCTGTGTCTGGCTTCCTTTGGAATGACCTTACTTGGTAATTTCCAGGTACTTCCTCTGGCTTTTTCGCCTCCCTCACACACTGTTAAGACTATTCACTTCTAGATTATGGCAGTCTGAGGTATAGTCTCCATGTGATCCGTATAATTCTGCGTGAACTTCAGAAACAAGTAAACACTTTGCACTTTGATTCCGCATCTGTTATCCCCGGGGTCCGGGTGCCTGTTCCCGCATGTGTGCTGGCTGCAGGTGCAGATAGCAAGGCATCCGGGGGAGGTATCCCAGAGCATCTGCGTGTGTCCTAAAAGGATGTCTTTACAGAGTGTTTCAACCAGGGGAGGTATCCCAGAGCAGCTGCGTGTGTCCTAAAAGGATGTCTTTACAGAGTGTTTCACACTTTCTTCATTATAAGTCATATCCCAGTGTGCTTCTAGAAAATTACTAAGATCACTGCCTCTTGATACTTAAGATTTGACTGACCATATTTGATGGAAGCACACATTTCAGAATAGCAAGTTCTCGTGAGAGTCAGGACGGGAAGCCCAGCATTTCTGCAGAATCCCTGACTCATCCTCCTAGAACTCAGAAGCCCCCGAGCACACCTGGAAGAGTGATTTCCTTTGCCAATACAGCATCTTCCTCTTGTTCTGAATGGCTTTGTTCATCTCCACAGTTGGCTGATTTCCCCACTTGCTCCACGCTGTAATCCAGCTTTCATTGCTACAAACTTCTTTCTCTTGTGAGCAAACGAGAGACGCATCTGGTCCTCCCCTCTGATCTGCTGAATGAATTCCAAATGATATAGGCACTCAAGGCCCTTGGCATTGTAGCAAACACATAGTTGTGTTCTTACCAAAACACACTCATGGGTTTCCTATGACTCTTTCTCCTTCTAACCCTCACCCTTACTGACTCATTAAACCAGGACCGTCTATTCCTCAAGACCTCACCTTGGCACATGGTAGCAACTAGATGGTGTTTACATTGTGAGTTGTTTGGCATTCCCATTCCATGTCAAGCTGAATGAGCATGTTGCTTAAGATAATAAATGATCAAGAGGGTATCTGTTGAGACTGTTGCTGAGATCTTGGTGGTGGCCTGTGCTGTGCTGCCTGCCTGTGTTGCAGATGTAGGCATAGTTTAAAGTAAATAGCACTGGCTCCACCAGGGCTCTGAGCACTGATGAGTGGTCAAGTGCATGCTTCATCCTAAAGTCATAGAAGAATCCTAGAAACGGGTGGTCTTGAAGGATGACAAAACTTAAAGCTATGAATGATGGCACTCAATATGAAGAACCTTGCTGGAGTATCTGCAATAATCTACCCTCTGGAGCATGGGATAAGAAACGTTTCAATCGCTGCCTCTTTTTATAAGTTTATACAAATTTGAACCATATGACGCTATTACTTATTTTTAAATCGGGTAAAATACTGACAATAAATGAAATGGGTTGCATTTGACATGAGAAATGGATTTCCTGGAAATGAAATTTAACTCAAGAAATCATCATTTTAAGTAGAATCTGAAAACATACCTTTTGAATTATGAGGAAAGTGGCTTCCAAGCAAGGGGGGGCACAACAACAACAAAATAGAAACATTATAAGGAAAAAGTAGTATTGGTTTGATACAACACTATGGCAACACTGTCAAACACCAGAGGGTAATGTAGAGTTCTAAAGTAATATTTCACCATAGCCTGTCTCTTCAGCAGGTTTTTTTGTTTGTTTGTTTTTTGTTTTTTGTTTTTGTTTTTTTTTTTGTATGTGCACTTAAAATGCTGATGATTTCAAATGGAGTTTTCAGCAATGGGCACCTTTGTAAAGCAGCTACAGAGTTCATTACATCTCTAACAACCAACTGACATAGCCCAAATGAGTGTCCGTCTCCAGACTCTGCAGAAGCCTTGAGGATGGATCTTCAGACACAGCCATCCTTTAATGGCCCGTGGATCTGGCTGACACTCAGACCTTGCTTGCAGTTTTATTACTATAGGAAAACAAAACCCAGAGAATTCCAATTAACACTGAGTAGGTTGAGTTCCATAGACAGGCCAGTTGTCCCAAGGGGTATCACGTGCACCCATCGAATCTCCCCGTGCCAGCACTGACTTCTCAGTAAGCAAGGGCACAGCCACATCCGAGCTCCCTTCTTTCAGCTCGGAAAGCAGAGTCTGGGATGTGTGCCTGCAGAAACTTGACATTTGCTTTTTATATAATTCTCCTGCTTCTCAATTTCCTTTCCTTAAAAGCTTTTTCTGGAAAATAAATTCAGGAAATAGATCCCTGCCTCCTGCAGGGTTTTCTAAACAAATGTTTTTAAGTTTAGGAAAAGCTGTTTCTTTTTCTCCCCCTCTGTAGATTTTCATCATTTGAGAATCAACACAGTCAGTAGAGATGAAAAAGTCTAATTTTTCTAAGCTCTCTAGCCTCACGGTTAAGAAGTTCTTTTCCCATCTTTCCCCTCATATTTTCATCAGTCCACACATTTTCAGAATGAGCCACCACATGGCTTCTCTTTCTCCTAGCTCACAAATGATGAAGAAATCCACAACGTGGGGACATCTTTGACCTTTGGGTTTGGCACACTGACCTGCTGGATACAGGCTGCTTTGACACTCAAAGTCAATATCAAGAATGAAGGACGGAGAGTGGGAATTCCACGAGTCATCCTGTCAGCTGTTATCACTCTCTGTGTAGTCCTGTGTATCCTTTGAAGGCTCTTTGCCAGGGACAGTAGAACACAGGTAAGTTCTATATGTAGAAAACTTTTGCCCTCCCTGGTGGGTAGAAAAGCTGTCAGATCAAAGAGTGTCAGACCGAAAGGTCGTAAGGAACCTGTCACTTCGTATGCTGGCCTTAGAAGTGAATAGCCGGGAGCTAAGAGATGACACGGTGGTCAAGAGCACTGGCTGCTCTTACAGAGGACTGGGGTTTGATTCCCAGCACCCGCACGGTGGCTCATAACTGTCCGTAACTCCAGACAGAGGGGATCCAACATCTGCTTCTGGCCTCCTCAGATACTGGGCACACTAGGGGTACACATGCGTACTTGTAGACAAAACACTCATACACAAAAAATAAAAACCTTTTAAGAGTGAATAAATTAAAACTAACAGTCAGGTATGGTGGAGCATAGGTGTAATCCCAGAACCTGGGAGGTAAAGGCAAGAGAACTGGGAGTTTAACATCATCCTTGGCTACACGGTGAGTTCAAGGCTACATTGACTACATCAAACCCTGTCTCAAAAAATAAAAGTAACAAAATTAATTTTTTAAAAACTATAAAATCAGATTTTTATGCCAAGGAGAGACAGGGAACTAAAACCGAAGCAGAATCTGCCGTCTGAATTGTTTCAGACTATGGGAAAGGTGCCGGCATGCATTCTGCCTCCCATCTTATAATGTCTCCATTAATGAAAACCATGGTGCAAGAAGCCCAAAAGAGTGTGGTGGGGTTTTTTTTTTCCGACATTTAAAAAATTCACCTATGGCTCTGTTTCCCACTGTTCCCCAGGGACAAACAAGACTTTTCCTGTCTCCCTCTTCTCTTCTGTCCTCTCTGTGTCTCTACCTCTTTTCTCTTTCCTTCCTCATGTTCTTACCTCCCCCTCAATACAACTTTCAATATGAAAGAAATTCATCTATGACTTCAAGTCCTATTAGGATTAGGTCATTTATTATTCTTAAAATGAATTTCAAGGGAAAATGTTTATATTTTTCAGGATTATAAATTTTCCTGGAGAACAAATTCAGGAACTGGATCACCTACTTGTGTAGTTTTCCTGAATAAATATTTGAGGCTTTGGGGTGCTGTTCATATCCTTTTCTCCCCCTTGGATTTGAACCAATGGAGAACAGACAAAAAAGAGCTAGGTGAAAATCAGCTTTTATTCCTAGTAAACTGGGGAAGAATGGCTCAGGCCCCATCCACACCCAGAAGTCACCTCACCTGCCCATGAACAAGCAGAAGAACGGAAGGTCTTACTCCCCTCATCCCCAGACAAGCCCCTAGTGCAGGGCTCAGTGACACCACCAGTAACCTGGCCCAGGAGAAGTTGCCACTTCTCATCTGTGTTGGTCCCTTTTCTGTTGGCTATGATAAAATTCCCTGACCAGAAGCAACTTAGAAGGTGAAAGGGTTTGTTTGAGCTTACAGATTCAGAAGGTATGGGTTCGTCATGACGGGAAAAGCATGACAACAGACAGGGAAAGCATGATGGCTGGAACAGGAAGCTGGCTGCTCACATTGTCATCCATACACAGGAAACAGGAAGAACAGAATCTGGCAAAGCTATAGACTGTCAAAGCCTGCACTCAGTAACATACCTCCGGCAGCAAGACTCCATCTTCTAAGAGTTCTGTAACCTTCCCAAACAGAGCCACCAACTGGGGATGGAGTTTTCCAATGCATGGCATTGGTTGGCATTTCTCATTCACGTCACCACCCCACCCCACCCCACCCCACCTGTCAGTTACCCAGTGCACAGAGTAGATGAAAAAAGAATCAGCCTTTATTCCTAGTAAACTGGGAACAATGACTCAGGCTCATCTACATCCTATGGTAATCAGTATTTACTCACAGATTTTCCTTAGAAATCGGAAGAGAGAGTCATGATTCCTATTTGGTCAAACACGGCTAACGGTTACATGCCTTAGTGGTAGTAACCACCAGTGTTTGCTGGGCATCTATTATGTCTCGCCATCATTGTAAGTACTTGAAATGCATTAATCGTTTTAATCACGATTGAGATTCGAAGGTAGGTTAATTTGTCCAAGATGACAAAGATGGTAGCAACCTGATAAAATGTGATCAAAGAAATCAAAACTGCCATTTCCCCAGCTCGAAGTTAACACGGCAGCACTGGTGATACCTTCTACCCTCAGTCAGAGGAATGCTCACAGGCTTGCAGTGGCGCTGGGCTGACAGCTCATGGTTCTGATCCTGCTGCATCTGAACACTTGGAAACATTAGTTAGTATCTGGCTTTCCTGGATCCAGGTCCAGTCAAGGGACAAAGTTTGCCTGACGTAACTCTCCACCAGTTCTTTTATTCTCTGAACGTCCATGAAGATTTTAGGTCTGTGATTTAAAGACAGAACACAGATACAAGGTCTCTGGTGTCTAGGAATGTATCTGATTTTTCTGAATAAATATTTTGGTTTTCAGACTCTTCACAGTTCACTAAAATATGCTATGAGCCTTTTGCTCTTAGCTCCTATGCTTCCGTGTACCGCTATGAGATCACATGTGTGTACATACACGCTGTATGTATTACGTATGTGCATTTCTTTTATATAGGTGTATATATATTTAGGAATAGGACTGTCATGATTTTTTATTAGCATTTGTGACCTTTTTCTAAGAAGTTTTTGTTTATTTTTATTTGTGTAGCTGCTTTGCCTGCATGGGTGTGTACCATGTTTGTGTCTGGTTTCCTTGGAGTTCAGAAGATGGAGTCATTCCCCGGTACTAGAATTGTGGATGGCTCTGAGTCATTGTGTAGGTGCTGAATATAATAGTGGGCTTAGTAAGGCCAGAAAGATGGCTCGGTAGCTAAGAGCAGCGGCTGTTCTTGCAGAGGACCTGGGTTCGGTTCCGAGAATGCACATAGCGGCTCACAACCACTCATAATTCCAGTTCCTGGGGCTGCATTGCCCTCCTCTAACCATGCATGTGGTGCACATACATACATGCACACCAGGTAAAACGCATACTTCTTCACATGTAAAATAAAATGAATCCATTTAATTTTAAAATAAAAAATAACAGGCTTCATTATGGCATTTCAGGTACACATACTGTATTTTGACCATATTAACCCCCTTTTAATCCTTTGTCCCTTCTTACTTTTGTAAACCTTTTTGTTTTGAGACAGGTTTTCATACAGTACAGTATGAACTCAAACTCACTGTGTGATGTTATCCATGAAGCCCAGGTCCGCCTGCCTCTGCCTGCCAAGTACTGGGGTTACAGGCATATACCACTCACTGTGTACATGACCAGATACTGGGGTTACAGGCATACACCACTCACTGTGTACATAAGATGACCAGATACTGGGGTTACAGGCATACACCACCACACTGGGCTCACTAAGACTTTTTAAGTTGCCTTTCTGCATTTGGTCACAAATGAGACTGACCTATAACAGTATCACCTAAAACAAGAGCAAGGGGGTCATGTTAGCACTGTGACACGGACACTGTTGTATGGGAGTAGCTGTGATCTGAAATGGTCAACAGAGTAGCAGTCCAGTTGCTACTCACATTTAATCAGGCAGGTGTAGAGTTCAGTGGCTGATGACGCCTGGTCAAGGTGTTTATGTAAATCTACCAATTCATACCTGTGTGAGAATGACTTCATTACCTACTTGACCTTAGTCCCTTGACTGTCTCTAAAACAGCCAGTGATGATAGGATCCCTGTGTGGTTAGAAGGGATTATCTGTGAAGATATCTAGAAATATACCCAGCACAGCACACAGCTCAGTGTTACCTGATAATGCATGCAAATTCCAGGTCCCAGCTAGCCCTGGCTACCAGCTTTGCCAGTGATGGGGAGGCCGACGTCTGGTTACCTTCCTTGACCACTGCTCCCCAGACTTCATCCTCATGGCCCAAGATATCCACATGTACGCAGCCAGGGTCCAGTGGGGCCTGGTCATGTGCTTCCTGTCTTACTTCGGCACCCTGGCTGTGGAGTTCCGGCACTACCGCTATGAGATTGTGTGCTCCGAGTACCAGGAGAACTTCCTGAGCTTCTCAGAGAGCCTGTCAGAAGCTTCTGAATATCAAACCGACCAGGTGTAACCCATCAGTTTGTCCTTGGGGGTGCGGTGGGTGTGGCAACAGGGGAGGGGCCAGGAGGATACGCTCACGGGACTGGACACATCGCCTCATGACACGTTTCACACACATGGACACATATTCGTGGCCCCATCTGTCAAGAGAGCTTTTCGGGGCAGGTTATTCCTTTCATGAACCAGCACAAGCCCTCATGTGGGGAAATACACGCTGTCACACTGGACATATATGCACGACAGAGCCAGGAGCTTGTACATGATCCCCTCCCGATCCCGCCCTCCCGGTATGCCTTCTTCTCATCGTTTTCAGGTTTCGAACCTGGCATCTTCCTCCAGCAGAGTACGGCGGGCAGAATGTAACGTAAGAGTGATACCAACTCCCTAAGTCGCCCTCGGGTCGGAAGGGCCTGGAGTGAGCTTGTGGGGAGCTGTGGCTCTGGGACCAATATTCTTGAGTGGATTCCGGAGTAGCATCTGTCGGGATGCCCACTACCGAAGCCGCGACTGTGGCCCAGGAGAGGCGTGGGTAGAGCGTTCCGCGAAGCTGCCTTCGCCACTGTTCAGCGGTTGGTTTTGTGGATCCAGTGAAAGGAACACGCAGCAGAGAGAGAGTGGGAGAGAGGCCCACCATCGGTGTTTGGACTTGACTCACTCTGCCTGAGGAAGATCTCCAGATGTGAATGCACAGGGATTGTCTGCCGCGTATGGTACGAGGCACAGCTGAGAGGGCACGGTATAGTTTTTGCTTCCACGCCGGGTCATGCACAATTCTGGTTTTATGGCTCATGGCTTGCCATTTTCTTTTTTTTTAATGCAACTCTCATGGCTGTCCGTAGGCCTCACGGACAAATAAGTGAACCAAGGAAGAACCTTGTCTTGGATTCAGTTATGACAGGGGGTCATACCTACAGACTTACCTTTGAAGGGGAAAAAAAAAGGATTCTGGAAGAAGCACAAAGAAACCTGCATGGGGGTGGGGGTGATGAGGTATGAGGCCACCTGTGGGCTTTGAGGAATGATGGATGGGAGGTTAGAACTTTTGCTGTAAATCAAGCCAGGGGAGGCTTTCATATACATGTGTTCCCCAAATCTTATAGTCCGGGGACTGAGGAGTTTTCAAACTTGGAATTTATAGAAACTAATTAAAATATTGTCCTCCCCAAAACCACATTGGCACAAATAGAGGCAATGAATCTCTCATCTCTACAAGTTCAGACGTGAGATGGTAAATGAACAAGTTCAAGGCCATTCTAGATCCCTTGTGTCAACCGAATGTGCCAAGTGCACCATCACCACCACCCCGACCAAGTGCACTGTTTCAAGAAGTCCCCAAATTCAGAGTGGCCTGGGGTATCCCAGGACAAAATGTGAAGAATGCTATTTTGTAAATTCAACCCAAAGTGTAGCTTCCCAAGGAGGGGGTCCAAATGTTGTTTCATCTAAATCTCCACCCCCAGCACAGTGCCTGGCACACAGGAAGTGCTCAGTAAATGTCCACTGAATAGGTTGTTTACAAGTGGAGGTAAGGAGTATCAAAGAGATTCGAAAATGAGTGACAGAGAATGGAAGCTGTCTCAAGTGGGTTAGGAGAGGAAGAGATCCGGGTGGCGCTCCTCAACGGTGATCGTGAGGGGCCTCAGCAGAGTGTTCTCTTATTAAAAAGGCACCTACTGTAAATAGTACAGGGTGACCTCTCGGTTTTAAAACTGCTTTGGGCTTCTTTCTTTTTTATATTTTAAAGATTTTATCAAAGACAGTTTTATTTTACTCTTCACCCTCCAACCTGTCTGCCGTAACAGCCCGTCTTAGCAGAATCAAGCTAAGACCGCCATTACTCATTGGGATCTGGCCACTAAATAAATTGTTTTATGCAAAATTGTGACTTCCTTGTTTCTGACAGTTCTTTGTGGGTGTGTGTATGCACTGCCATGTTGGCTGTTAACAGCGTGCAGAACACTATCTTTATGTTTGCTGCTTTATTATGAAGGATACAAGTCGGGATCAGGCAAATGGGAGTTTCCTGGGAAGAGGAGGAGGACGAGGGGCTCACTCCTATGTCCTCAGAGCACTCCACTCTCCTAGCTCCCCTCAGTGTTCCTCAGCCTGGAAGCCATCTACAGCTCACAACTCAGGAGCAGGGTTGATAGCTCTCCATCCCCCAACTGCCCCTCCCACCTCCCAGAGGTCTAAGCACTTGGTACTTGAGGTAACCAGCCCTCATCCTGAAGTTACATCAGCAGCATGAACTCTGCTATAACCAGCCGAGGTTCGTTATGAATAAAGCATTGCTGTTATATTCGAAGGGTGTTAGGACAAAAGCCAAGCATCTTATTTGAGAAAACGTTCTCATACAATAAAATTTTATCGTATTCTTTCTCCTCCCCAACTCTTCCTAGATCCTCTCTACCTCCATACTCATCCAGTTTTTGTCTCTCAACAAAAAGTAAGACCAAAGCAAATGAAAAGAAATAAAACCAATAACACACACACACAATACCAAAACAAACAAAAAGTTCACAAAAGCACATGAAGTTTTTTGTGTTTTAGCCAACCACTCCCGAGCATGGTTGATATACACAGTGACACTCCATTTCAGAAAACTGGTTTCCTGTTTCCAAGCAGGTGCCAATTACAAATAATTCCATGGCTAGGGTTGGGAGTTCGTGTCCACTTTCCCCTCTCTGTGCTGGATTTTTTTCTGTCTTGAACCCATGTGGGCCTTGTGTGTGTTATCACCATCTCTTTGAGTTCATATCTGCATCGCCCCTGTTGTACCTAGAAAACAGTTTCCTTGGAGTCGTCCATCACCCTGGCTCTTACAATCTTTCTGCCTCCTCTTCTGCCTAGATCCCTGAGCCCTGAGGGGAAGGGTGTGATAAAGACATCCTATTTAGTATAAGCACTCCAAATCTCTCCTTCTGCACGTGGTCAAGTTGTGGGTCTCTGTTAATTACCATCTACTGCCTCTTGAAGGAGAAAAGGCCAGTAGTATGTCATGGGACACACCTGTAATCCCAGCACTAAAGAGGCAGAGGCAGGAAGGCTGGGTTCCATTCTGGACTGAGCTGCATTGTGAAACCCATCTCAAACAAGGAGAAGAGAGGATCTAAGGTTTACCATATCTTGACCCTTCCAAGGTGTCCATCCCAGACCTCCATCCTGATTGGTTGACTTTAACTACTAATGGCTCCTCCGCTGTAAGGCATCTCAGTTTTAACTGTAGACCTTTAAGCCTGCCCTTCCCACAACTGCCCCATGTAAGTTAAAGATGCCTGTCTCCCAGCTGTTGACAGGGACCTCTCTTCTCTCCTGCATCTGTTCTCTCCTCCTATCTCTGGGGAAACCCTGGCAGTGTTACCTTCACAGTTGAGCAGTCGTGATGGTGCATGCCTTTCATCCCAACCCTCAGGAGGCAGAGCTCTGTGAATTCAAGGTCAATTTGGTTTAGTGAGTTCCAGGATGGCCAGGGATACATAATGAGATCATGTCAAAAGACAAAAACCCAGTAGAAAAGATATCAAGGCCAGCCTGGGCTTCATGACCCTATCTTTAAAGTGGACTATGAATCTATCTCTACTGTTATTGTTTGGCCCAGTTGTTAACATCTCCCCAGAAGTTTCAAAACAACAAAAACCCTGGTCTCTTTGATTCCATTGGGTGTTCCCTCTAACCTGCTCCTAACACAACAAAGTCACCTTCCTTAAAAGCTGAAGCTGTTAATTCCAACCCTCTGCTGGAAGCAGTACACTGCTTTCCCATGTACTCAGACTAAATCTCCAACCACCACAATGTCCCCTGGCCCCAGACCTACTTCTAAATCTTTCTTTTTTTTGCAGAGCCTCCAGAAGCCTCCTTATTTTTCTCCAAAAGTAAGGCCAACCCTGGCCACAAGGCTTTGGCCCGCCTTTCTCCAGATATGTAAATCTCACCATCTTCACAGAGGTGGGTGCGATCTATCAACCCTCAGAATCAACCTCACCAGGTCTACCTGAACACCATTTCCTCCAGGTTTGTTATGGATTAAGTAAAACATGGCCTTGGGCCTCTTGGGGAGCTATCTCAGTGAGTAAAAGTACTTGCCAATAAACCTGACAACCTGAGTTCTATTCCCAAGACCCATGTGGTAAGAGAACCAATCCACGGTGCTGCTTTCTGACTCCCACATGGATGCCAAGACACACGCTTGGCTTCCTTCCAAGGCTTGATGGCAACTGCTGAAACTTCAGGGCTCTCTGACTCTTCTCCGTCAATAGGTCTTTCCAAAACCAAACTACACGGTTTAACAGCACCTCCCTTCCAGTCAGTCTAGGCTACACTCTGCTCTGCAGTCAGGCCGGGGCTTCAGGCTCTGCGCTTTTACCTCACAGCTTTCGGCTCTCCCTGTCTCCACCGGCTTCCCACTTTACACACCGAGTGGCTGTTTGTCCAGCAGCAGTGTCCATCCAGTTACTCAAGCTACAAACCTAGGAGTTGCCCTTCCAGGTCCTGCCTATCACGTGTAGTTATGGACAACCCTAAGCCATCCTAAAGTGTCCACAGCTATTTCCACTGTTAGCACCCAGAGCCAGCCACTGCTAGCCCTTCGCTACAGCAGCCTCTGGTATGGAATCCAGCTAATAGAGCGATTAGAGGAGTTGGAAAATTAAGAACATTCCCCAGACATACATGTGGTTCTGGAATGGGATTACTACTCAATGAAATGTGGAAGTGTGATCTTACAGAGAGGCAGTCTTCAATGAAATGTGGTGGTGTGGTCTTACAGAGAGGCAGTCTTCGTATTGCTGTTGGTGTGGGCAAGGTCACCACAACGTAAGGGTTACCTGGCCGGCTTCATGACTGAGCAGCTGTGACAACCATGGCAAGCTTCCTGAAGTCATCCCCAGGGGGGCTTCCTGGGGCAGTTCCCCTAATTATGCCTCCTCTAAGCCTTCCATTGGTTTGTGTGAAAGCCTTACTCCTAGTCTCGAGTTCCTTTGTGATCACAATACCTAGGGGGGGCTGGAGAGACGGAATCGAAGCAAAGACCACTTGTGGCTCTTGGTGAGTTCTCAGCACCTACATCAGACGGTTCACAACTACCGTAACTTCAGTTTCGGAGGCTCTGATGCTGTCTTCCGGCCTCCACCCACAAACACGTGACGGTGGACAGAAACCACGGGTTTTTGCTGTTTTGAGACAGGGTCCATGTAGCCCCGGTTACTAGCCTGGAACTCCCTCGACAAACCACGTTGGCCTCTAGATGTAAACAATCTGACCAGCCTCTGCAAATTAATGTTGACTATTACTTAACATAGTACAATTTTGACATCAAGGCCCCAGTGGTACTACAGTAAATTATTATGGAACATAGTCTATTTAATATTTTTTTCTCTGATAAGAATGAAAAATATGAAAGCAAGCCCTTTTTAACACGGCTGTTAGAATCTTGTCCACTCAAAAATCAAATTGTTTTCTTTTTTGAATCGTGTTAGATACAAGAGGGGGAAGAGGAATTACTGAGTAGGTTGCAGTTGGTATTATTGCCAAACTACTCTGCTCTTGCAAACCATGCTATTGGCTTTTAAAGAGAAATGAGCTGTTCATTCATCTCCCCTCTGCCCCCTGCTCCATCCGACGGGAAGCCAGTCATTTGACAAGGTCTGTGGGGAAGCAGCACCACCTGCTGGGCAGAGTCTGCTATGCACCCATGTTAGTATTCCGACCCCGGCTCTCAGGCAACCAAGGCCACCATAAACAGCAATCCTCTCTACTCCAGAATTACTAATTAGAGAATCAGCTTTTGAGACTTCTCCCGGTAAAGCACAAAGTCTATCTGGCTCCAGATGGGAATAAAAACCAACCCAACTTTAACAAAGTCCCTTATCCCAGAGGGGAAAAAAATAACTATTTTATTCTGCCTGCATTTATGTGTGTGGATCCCATGTGTGCCTGGTACAGGGGGAGGCATCAGACCCCTGGAACTGGAGTTCGATGGTTATGAGCCTGGGAATCAATACATTTTAGGAACAGCCAGTGCTCTTAACCACTAAGTCATCTCCAGCACCATAAAGATGTGGGCTTCCTTGTTTGTTTTGAGGCTATCTGGTCTTGAATGTCCAGGGACTCCTTGATATGCATACCAGGCTGGGATTAAAGGCTCTCTTCAAGAGCTGGGGATTATGGGATTACAAGGATGTGTCACCACACCAGGCTCTTCCTCAATTCCTTACTTTGCTAATTACTGTTTGTGGTGGGTTGAAAGAAAATGGCCCCCAAAGGGAGTCGCACTGTTAGTTGTGGCCTTGTGGGTAGGTGGGGTCTTTTTGGAGGGAGTATGTACTGTGGAGGGGGCTTTGAGGTCTCATATATGCTCAAGCCACAGCCAGGGAGGCAGTCTACTTCCTGTTACCTGCACAAGATGTAGAACTCTCAGCTTCCTCCCTAGCATCATGCCTGCCTGCATGACAATGAACTGAACCTCTGAACTGTAAGTTACCCCAATTAAATATTCTTATTTCATAACAGTTGCCATGGTCATGGTATCTCTTTTTTTTCATGGTATCTCTTCATAGCAATAGAAACCATAAATAAGACACTATTATTAAAGGATAATCTGTTCTGCCATCTGCCCATGAACTTGTCTACAAATATATAGTTAATCCTTTCATTTTCATTAGCTTGTGGTTTTATCATAATTTATAAATTATTCACATTTCTATGACTTACATGAATTTGATTCTATTTTTTAGTCTGACACAAAATCTGAATCAATTTTTTTCTATCTTCTTCCCTCCTCTTACTTGCAAGATCCTTCTCTTTATTCAATGTATCTCCAAAATTATTCCTCCAGAATTGTCTTGATTAATTAGAAAAATAATTGTTTCCTTCAAACATTTTCTCACATAGCCTTAAAAAAAGGAGCTAGTCCCGGGTGGTGGCACACGACTTTAATCCCAGCATTATTCGGGAGGCAGAGGTTCCTGCCACCAAGACTCATGACCTGCATTCAATACCCAGAACAGCACATGGTAGAAGGAATGACCAACTGTCACACTGTCCTGCCACACACTCACATCCACACCACACACACACTCACATCCACACACACACTCACTCACATCCACACCACACACACACTCACATCAACACCACACTCACATCCACACCACACACACACTCACATCCACACCACACACACTGACATCCACACCACACACACACTCACATCCACACACACACTCACTCACATCAACACCACACACACACTCACATCCACACACACTCACATCCACACACACTCACTCACAGCAACACCACACACACTCACATCCACACCACACACACACTCACATCCACACCACACACACTCACATCCACACCACACACACACTCACATCCACACACACACTCACATCCACACACACACTCACATCCACACACACACTCACATCCCCACACACACTCACTCACATCAACACCACACACACACTCACATCCACACCATAAAAAATTAAAATGTGGAGAAAAAAACATGGTTATCAAAATTCCAAGAAACTTCACTCATATATGAATGCTACTGTCGGAACTAAGTAGTAACAACATTTAAATACAAGCTGAAGCTATTTTTTGTTTGTTTATAGTCTGTTAAGAGATGTGCATATCACACTCAGTGCAAAATCTAAGGGTCGTTCAGTTGTTCAGTTGCTCCAGGCTTACTTCCCTTTCTGCTTCTGGCAGCATGAGGTACAATCCACAATCTATACGAAACTGAAAGAGGAAAATGCCTTTATTAACTAATCACACGACACCGACATCACCCTGTCAGAATGGCACTGAGATAAACGATGCTGTTATAAAATTTACATCTTCACACCCATTTCAGAGGAAATATTACACACTAGAGCTCTTTGTGGTGTCACACTTGTTTCAATAAGATATTTTTAGAAAATAGTCATTGACATATATTCTCCAGCTATGCAGGACACAGAAGGCAACTATAAAACAGTGCGGACGCGGCGGGGGCGGGTTAGTGGAGCAACCGCGACCTTAGCTGTTCCACGCACTCTGCTCCGGAGGATGTGTGCCGCCTCGCACCCCGATACCTTACCGATCAAAACCACTCTGACCAGAAACCAATGCCTGTCTCGTGTACACAGGCAAGTGAGCCTGGGTGCAGCAGTGTGATTCGAACTCACAAGGAGGCGGGGTCGGTGGGTTCCTCTTATGGATGCGTCTGAAGCACTGCCAGTTTTTAAAATAACAAGGTCTCTGGATAATCATTTCTCAAAACCACCTTCCCATTCCAGTAAACAATTTGATAAACACCCACATTTGATTTGTGGTTTTGCAGTTCCTTCTAGCAAATACACTCTGGCCTTGGTAAGACTTAGAGTTATGGTCTACAGATAAAGCATCCTTACATGAATTTGAATCTCCCGGAACTGACAACTTTGCTCACCTATGTGCCCGTGGAAATTAATCTGAGCACACATACATGTATATACACTTGCATCTGTCTGTGTGTACATATAAGTAAGTTACTTTTACAATTAGAATAAAGCTAGACATTAGGGGGAACAGTTTCATCTTCCTCAGAACCTGCTCTATGTTGACGGCAGGTATAGCTCGCTGAAGGATGTGATGAGGTTGTAGTATGTTTTCTCATCGTCTGTCAATCCCGCGTTGCCAGGCCTCACCACCACAGCGACGTGCACATCTGCTTCCTCGGCAGCACTGGCCTCTGTGAAAATCAAAGTACAGTGAGACCACCAAACCTGATGCCTGAGATGAGCTAAGTCGCGGGGAGAGAGAGCAAGAAGTGACTGTGGCCCTAGCCTTTGTTGCAGGTAAAAGATGGGCAGTGAGGCAGGTTTCATATACATAATATACTTTATATATAGCATATACGTAATATACTTTATAACATATATAATATACTTTATATATAACATATACATAATATACTTTATATATAACATATATAATATACTTTATATGTAACACATATATTCTATGCTCAAAAGCACATGGCTGCACATAACAGGCAGAAGACACAGTCTGTCCTATACTGTGCTTTAATTAGAGCTCCTGATAAATGGAACGCAGGCCTACTCTGGCCCACGCCCTTTGTTCATTCCTACAAATTAGCCCCAGACGGCTGAGCTGTTTCTCAAAGGGCACGCTGCAGGGTCTAACATCAGTTAAGTAGATAGAGAACAAAGGTGTCCTATGATCTAATCTGGCCAAAGTGCATGCTCTCACCTCAGGTCCCAGCATGTCATCCCCCCTGCCTAGACACCACATCTTTTTTGCCTGACAAACTCCTACTCTTCAAAATTCCACTCAAAACATGACAGCGTCCAGAAGCACCATCCGTGTATGACAGCAGCCCGGTATGACGGCAGCCCGTGTGTTCACACCCTGCACTTAGCCTCCTTAGACTGTGGGTACCTTACTGATCAGTGACTGGATGTATTGGGTGGCAGAGTGAAAGCAAGACCCATCATATTAACTTAGGTGAGCTGGGGATACCGCTAATACACCTTGGCTGACACTCATCTCTCCGTTTTATTTGAAAAGCAAAGCTATCATCTTTAAAAGCATCCACTGTGTGTTAGGAGCCATACTTGGACAAGAGATACGTGAACTAACAGGGCTCCTGCTTTTGTACAGCTAGCATCCTCACCTTGCCCAACAACTCAAAGTAACGTACACCATTATCCCTGTCCCAGTCTACAGAAACAGAGCTAACACTGTCAGCTGGCAGCCTAACTCAATGCCCGGTACTCTAATCACAACCCCTCTGAAGAACTTCTACCTCCAAAAAGCATCTACAATATGATTCATCACAATAGCAAAACGACAGTTATTAAATAGCAAGGAAAATAATTTATTGTGGGGGGGCAGTCACCACAACATAAAGAACTGTATCAAAGAGACAGCATTAGGAAGGTTGAGGAACCACTGCTCTGAAACAAAGGCTGGCAAATCACAGCATGCCCCTTAACAGCTGTATTGGCACACTGCTATACCCGTCATCTGCATACTGTTTGTGATGGCTTTTGTACTCCCAGGAAAGGCTGAATTGCTGTGACAGAGACTCTGTGAGCTGAAATCTACGGATTTACTATCTGGTGCTAAGTCTTGATCTTGCACCAAATACTCCAAGTGTACTCTTGCAGACACTGCGTGCTACAATTCCAAGAAGTCTTTAGTTTCCTCTGTCATACTTTAGTAGCATTTGAAACATCACCTTGGTTTTCTGCCTGACTTGTATGTGAAGGGATAGATACATGGTACAAAAAACCCACAGGACCACAGATGCCAGAAGAGTAAAGCAAGCAACCTCCACCTTCCCATCCCTGCTACAGTTCATTCAAGTTCTGGCCCTCCTGCCTCATGGGATGGAGCCTGTGGTGAGGGGGGTTTAGTGGATACCTAGATAAGGCTGATTTCCTTTTAAGGCCAATCTAGGATAGGACTATAGCCAGGCATGGTAGCTCATGCCTTTGATTCCAGCATTTGGAAGGCCAAGGCAGGTGGATCTGAGTTTGAGGCCAGCCTGGTCTACATAGTAAACGCCAAGATGGCCAGGGCTACGTAGAGAGAACCTGTCTCAAAACAACAACAAACAAACAAAAACAGAGTTGGGAATATATACTCTGGTTTCTTCAGACTGTATATATCTCCTTTTACTCAAGTTAGAAATTAATTTCTAGAACGTCAATCCTAGGAAATGGCTTAAATTAAACAAGAAAAGACTTGACTGCAGGTCAACTTTTTAAAAAGTTCTAAAGAGAAAACTATGAAGAAAGCCTAAGAAATCTCAGGAGTTGTAGGCCAGTAGATAGCTCAGCTAGTAAGAGCATTTGCTACCAAACCTGTCGACATGAGCTAACTGCCCAAATCTACACAGGAGAAGGAGAAAACTGACGCCACTCACCACCAACCACACACACTGTCTTCTACTCTCAGTGTATGTGTAGCACATGTCCCCACCCCAGTATAATAGATAAATGCACAAATGAACAGGAGTTAGGTTACTGTATGTGCACACATATGTGTGGATGCATGTGCCTGTGCATGTACACTCATGGAGACATGAGCATTATCTTTTCCTTTTATTAGTAAATATTAACCACACAAGGTAGCAGGTACCACTGTGACATGCATATAATCATTTTTATCATATTACCCATTATCCTTTCTTGTCCTCTGACCCCCTTCCTCTTCCCAGCTGGCCCTTTTTCTATTGTCATGTCTGTTTTGGGGGAAGGGAGATCTCCCATTCTTTTATATGTATATGGGTGTTTGTGTGCACATGCCTGTGCATGCGTGCATACGTGTGTTACATGCCTTACTGTCTTAAAACATGGTCTTACTGAACTAGAAGTTGTTTGTGTTAGGATGCCAAACTCCCAGAAGATACCTCTCTTTACTAAGGCTAAGATTTCAAGTATACGTTGTCATACTTGGTTATGTGGGTCCTGGGGATTTGAATTCAGTTTCTAGTGATTGTACAGCAAGTGCCCTTACCCACGGAGGCAGCCCCCTAGCCCTGAACCCTTCTGCAACATTCCCTAGGAAGGATGACACAGACATCTATTTGTGTCAGGTTAAGATATCACATAGAAGAAAACTGCTCTAGTAGGCTTCTGAGCTGTCCCCCACAGCTCAGCCATTTCATTACTTGGACTCCATCAGGTGTTGCTAAGGTTAGGGAGGTTGTGAAACCTTCTAGAAACAGGGCCTATCTGGAAGGTGTAGGCCAGGAGAGGAAACAGTCCAGGCCCACTTTGATCTCCTGTGCTTCCTGATCTGTGACTGTGTGAGAGGTGACACAGTGACCATGATGGCGGCAGCCTTTGAACTATGAGGAAAACCAAACCTCTGCTCCCTTCAAGCAGCCTCCCTCGGGTACCGCATCACAGGGACAACAAAACACAAAACACAAAAGCCAGTTACTCACCTAAAGTAACATCTGTGAGAAACAAGATGTTGCTGGTTGAGCACCCAATGCTGTCTGCAATCTTTCGGTAACTCTCGCTCTCCACTTTGTGTCCAATCTTGGTGTCAAAGTGGCCATCAATAAGCTGAACAAAAGAACGGGAAGGAGGACTATTCAGTGCACCATACGTGTGGCCAACCACACCCGTTCACTGCAGGCCTTCCTCTGAAATGCAGGCCAGTCACAGTGACCTCATTCCATATATCTGCTGAAGACGTAGCTAATAGAGTACTTTGTGAGAGCTACAAAAACCCCAAAGATTATATGGAAATAAATACGTGGATGAGATCGACTAGTTCAACCCATGTTTCATTTTGTTCTTATTAGCATTGTTTCATGTCCCAAATCACTTCAAATATGCATGACCTACAACACTCTACATTCAAACTACTTTTTGGACTGGGTTTTGCTCCAGATGAAAAAGAAGGTTGTATCTGGGCAGTGGTAGCACACATCTTTAATCCCAGCACTTGGGAGGCAGAGACAGGCGGATCTCTGTGAGTTCGAGGCCAGCCTGGTCTATAGAGCGAGCTCCAAGACAGTCAGGGCAGGTACTAAAAACAAAACAACAAAAGAGAAAAAGAAGGCCATGAGCATTATCCTTTTGATCCCAGGATGAGAAGCTGAGCGTGTTGGTACACGTCTGTCATCACAGGAGTTCCAGGCAGGCAGGAAGCTCACTACCAAGATCTGCCAGATTCACACAGCACAATCAGACCAGTCAGGGCTACACACCCATTCCCTGCCACAAAAAAACAAAGTGTGAAGAGGTATCTCTCTCTAACCAGAACCTTTCTTGACAGGTTATTACTCTGCTTTCACCAAAGTTTCTTTTTTCTCCCGAGACAGGATGGATTGGAGCCAAGGCTGGCCTTGAACCTGGACTCTTGATCTTTGTGCTGCCACCTCCCAAGTGCTAGGATTACAAGTGCACCACCACACCCAGCTTCACTTCTAATTAACACATCCCAAACACTACCCTTAAGGTCTTAGACGTAACTGGAATCAAATGCTTGCTAATTTAACCAACAGTAATTAAAGGACGTTGATATTTAATAGGCTCGGCTTTGACTGTCTGGATGTCTTTCATCAACTAAAAGCAAGTTTAGCAATCAAAGACTAAAGACAATATTAAGGCTTGAGGCTTGGGACTTGTGAAGCCAGGCCTCTCTTGTAGTTTCTGCTAACTACGCAGTGGAGGCTAGCTTGTAGGTGGCCCACGTCTCCACCTCCTGTCCCACTGTAAAAGTGCTGGGATGACAAGAGCTGCTACGGAGTCTGACTTTTTAAAATGAGTTCCAGGAATTGAACTCAGGTCACCAGGCTTGCCTAGCAAGCACCTCTACCTGCTGAGGCCCCAGAGTTGGTTGGTTTGTTTTTTAACTATTAAAACACTTGAAGCCAGACATTGATGGCACATGCCTTTAATCACAGCACTCGGGAGGCAGAAGCAAGCGGATCTCTGTGAGTTTGAGGGCAGCCTGGTCTACAGAACGAGTTCCAGGACAGCCTCCAAAACAATACAGAGAAACCCTGTCTCCAAAAGCCAAAAAAAAAAAAAAAAAAACACGAGACCAATTCTGCATACTTCTTTTCTCTATTTGCCTCACTTGGTAGCTAGAGAATGATTTTTACTACTGAAACCAGCAAGTAATTATCACATTGCACACATGTTGACCTTATTACCTATCTCACTGAACAAAGTTTTTGTCTGTGTTGAGAAAAGAATAGCCATCATTGATCTCATTACTGGTTTGATATCTGCTATAAAAGACAAAAAGAACATATACTAAAATTACAATATGGTGACTGGCAGTGGTGGCACAGACCTTTAATCCCAGCACTCAGGAGGCAGGGGCAAGCAGATCTCTGAGAGTTCAAGACCAACCTGGTCTACAAGAGCAAGTTCCAGGACAGCCTCCAAAGCCACATGGAAACCTTGCCTTGAAAAAACCCCCAAAATTAGATATGCTTTTGGGTAGTGCCTACATATCCGAATGGGCCCAGAAAATATTACTTCTAGAGATGGGGGTATAGCTAAGAGGCAAAGCACTTCCCTAGTATTTCATGAAGCCCTGGGTTCCAACCCCAGCAACTTAAAAGTTAGTTGGCCAAACGAATTCTGTTTAGTCACCCTTTCTGGGGAGGGGAAGAGTTTCTTTTGAGTTGCTGATTGTGTTAGTTTGGGTTTCTATTGCTGTGATGAGACACCATGACCATGGCAACTCTTTTTTTCTTTTAAATAATTTTATTTGCATTGGTGTTTTGCCTTCATGTATGTCTATGTGAGGATGTCAGATCTTGGAGTTAGAGTCATTAGCTGCCATGTGAGTGCTGGGATTAAACCCAGGTCCTCTGGAAGAGCAGACAGTGCACTTAACCACTGAGCCATCTCTCCAGCCCCGACCATGGCAACTCCTACAAAGGAAAACAGATCATTGAGGTGGCAGCTTACAGTTTCAGAGTTTCAGTCCATTATCATCATGGTGACGAGCATAGTGACATGCAGGCAGACATGGTGCTGGAGAAAGAGCTTCTACATGCTGATATGCAGGCAACAGGAAGTAGACTGTTGACACTAGGTGGTAGCTTGAGCATATATGAAACTTCAAAGCCCACCTCCACAGTGACACATTTCTTCCAACAAAAACACAACTACTCCAACAAGGCCACACCTCCTAATAGTGACACTCTCTTTTGGGGCAGTTTTCCTTCAAATCACTACACAGATTTTTTTTTAATTGATATTAGCAAAATAGCACATTTACTTTCTAGTGTATGGGCCAGTGTACAAGTACATATTTATATCTTTATATACATAGAGTAAATATATATAGTATCTGGTTTTAGTACTAGTCTCACCAAAAATTACTTTGGGTGGATACTTCAATGTACTCTTGATCTTCACTGATAACTCAAACTTGCTAGGAGACTGGGCACTGCTCTTCATATTTTGATATTGGAGATAGTATCTCACTATATAGCCCTTGTGAGCCTCAAGCTCACTGTATAGCCAGGCTGGACTTGAAAGGGTGACCCTATTACCTTAACCTCAGGGTGCTGGAATTACAGGTGAGTTCCACTACACACGGCTTGAAATCTACATTTTCTGAGTTTGTGCGTGCAGGTCCGTGTGTGGTTGTGTGTGAAGTGACAGCTAGAGATCTCCTCCTCCATCACTCGCCACTTGTTTCTTTTTTTAACATTATGAATTAGTTAGCTTGTTGTATTTGTAGATATGCATGCTATAGCAGACAGCTTGTAGAAGTTGGTTTTCTTCTTCCATGGGGGTGCCAGGGATCAAATTCTGCTCATTAAGTTTGGAGGTGAGTGCCTTTCCTCATGGGCCCAACTTGCCAACCCTTCCTTATTTTTTGATCCTGGAGCTCAGCAATTTGGCAGCAAGCACAAATGATCCTCCAGTTTTTGCACTCCCAGTGCTGGAATGAGAAGCATGTGAAGTCTGGCTTCTGCGTGGGTGTTGGGAATCAAACTCGGGGCCTCAGGTTGGCAGGGCAAGCACTTTACCAATTGAGCTGTTGTCCCAGTGCCAGAATACACTTTCTAAACAAACTTCTGGTGATCCTTATACAAAAGAAAAACTTACCCGACTTTCAATTCAAAAGCTGGTACTATACAAAATACTCCACCTGCTAGAAGCCAGGCAGAGCCAGGCTCTCCCAGAGGCCCTGATAAAAGAACAGAAGGAACCCAGTTCTATCTCTGACCAAGGGCAGACTTGACAAGGTCCAATCTAAGGCTCAGAAGAGGGCCCTCGAAGGAGCTGTGGTTTCTGTTCCTGGGAACTTGGCTTTCACCGGGAGACCAGAGTTATCAGTCCCAATGCCACTATGCTCCATCCCTGGCACATCTAAGACATCCTGTGTCCCCTTGTGCAATGGGCTTGATTAACTTCCTTCTGACTTTGTCCCACTGTCCCCTTGCAAGCTGTACATAAGATGTAGTTGCCTGTGTGAGCCGTCAGCTTGTGCAGGACCTCCTGACCCCAAACTTTCCTGGCTTCTCCATTTTCTCGTCCCCTGGTCACCTATCTCAGAACCTGTCACTGAAGAAGGACCTGCTGGCCCAGGACATTCACCCCTCTATACAAGGTAACCACAGTTTTTCCTCATCTTTTTACAATAATAAGTACAACTGTCTAGTTGCCAATTTAGCTTTTTTAGATGGTTTTCACTAATCAGTATTTCATGTTTTAATAGTATCAAAATGAAGTAATCCAAGTGTACTGGTTAGTTTTTGTCAACTCGACACAAACTAGAGTTATCTTTGAAGAGAACAAACTTCAATTAAGGTACTATCTCCATCAGACTAGGCTCTGGGCATATCTGTGGAGCATTTTCTTAATGACTAACATGGGTGGTGCCACCCTTGGGCAGGTGGCCTGGGTTGTATGAAAAAGCCAGCTGAGCAAGCCAATAAAGGAGCCCCCCTTTATGGTCTCTGTATCTCTGCCTGCCTCCAGCTTCCTGCTTGAGGTCTGACCCTAACTTCCCCAAATGAACTTCATGTGGGAGTGTAAGCCAAATAAATCCACCCTAGGTGGCTTGTAGTCATAGTATTTATCACAGCAATAGCAAACAAATTCGGACACCAAGTAACCTACCTCAAGAATATCTCCTTCTGTAGAATGCCCAAAGAGCAGTTTCTGAGCCTCTACGCTCCCTGAAGAGTAGATGTACACCTTCATTCCAGCCTCTCTCCACCTTCTGACTGCTGGGACCACGTCTGCGAAGAACCTGGAGGGAAACCCAGAAACACACCATGGAGCCAGATGAAATCAGACAGTACACAGACCATGCCTCGGCTCACAAGGTAGCCTGAGAAGCAACTCCACGAGACAGGAAATCCCTGTGGTTCTAATAAACAGGTCACTGGAGTTCCCGGATCACAGATTAGAAGCAATTAAGTTTGGTGGAGAGAATGGTATTTGACTTTAATAAAAAGCATGAAGGGATGAAATGAGAAAGTAACTTGTGGGCGGAGAGACGGCTCAGAGTTAAGAGCAGTGGCTGCTCTTCCAGGACCCTGATTCTGTTCCCAGCACCCATGGCAGCTCACAATCGACTGTAACTCCAGTCCTAGGGAATCCAATGCCCTCCTCTGACCTCCATGGGCACCAGGCATGTATGTGGTGTACTTACATTCATGCAGACAGAAGACACAAAATAAATCTTAGAGTGACTATGTTTTAATTCTCAAGGAGCTAAGATAAAAATAATACGAATATTGTATTATTTAATTGATGCAATTTATAAGAAAAGACTGGTTTACCTTCACTGTGCTTTGAGAAACCATGAAAATGCTTTTTCCCCATTTTTAAAAGATCTATTTTATGTTTCTTGCATATATGTAGGAGTGTTTCTTGCATATATGTAGGAGTATTTCTTGCATATACGTAAGGGAACACCCTGAAACCTCAATGCCTTCCTTTAAAAGGCAGGTCCTTGTATCAGACACAAACATCTCATTAAACAAAACACAAGAAATACAAAAGACACCCAGGCAGCTGAAAATGGCCTTGAATCTGAGAATTAACCTAAGGCAATTGACTAAAATCATTAAAAAACTAAAAAAGACCCTCTAAGGTCAGTTGGATGCGGAAGGACACATGTATAAATCCCAGCACCGAGAAGGCTAGTGCAGGAAATCCCGGTGTGAAGCCATGCTGGGCTACACTGCAAGTCCAGGCCAGCCAGGATACACATATGATGAGACCCTATCTTTAATTGTTTACATCGTGTGTGTGTGTGTGTGTGTGTGTGTGTGTGTGTGTGTGTGTGTGTGTGTTCATCATGTATGTGCAAGTGCAGACACACTCAGACACATGCAGGGGTACATGTATCAAGGTCAGAGGTTAACCTGCAGAAGTTGTTTATCTCCTTCCACAATGTGGATCCTAGGGATTGAACTCAGGTTGTCAGTCTTGGCAGCACTCACCCCTGCTCACTAAGCCCTCTCACTGGCCCAAACTGTTACTCCTGCCAAGTAATACAGTCCTCGGCAGGAAAACTAGCAGAAATCCCATGACTGAGACTCCAACATTACAAAGGTGCCCCAAAAGCTGGGGAAGTAACAGTGCCCATGAGTAACTGCAGAGTAACACGATTTCAGTTTTCTTACTTCTCTTTCTGATTTTACTTTACGTGTCTGAGGGTTTTGCATGCATAGTGTATGCATGTGCCTAATATCTGTGGAAGTCAGACATGGGCACTGAGTCGCCCGACTGCCAACTGCTGAGCCCTCTCACTTCTCTTGTCAATGGCTGAGAGAAGCAGACCAAGAATGCTGTCACTGAGTGTCACTGGTGTACCACAGGTTAGATATGACCTAGCTCACAAAAGGCTCAGGTCCAGCTCCCAAGTGCTGATATCACAGACGAACAACACTGTACCAGGCTAAAGGTGCCATGTTCTAGGAAGCTGTTTTAAAATAGAACTGAAAGTCTCTCACCTACCCACAAAACCCCAGATCTAGGGGACAAAGCTGGGGGGGGGGGACGACAATCATTTGCTACAATAAAAGTAATACCAATTTTATCTTTTTTTTTGAGATAGGGTCTATGTGACCTTGGTCTGCCTAGAACTCAAGAGATCTGCCTGCCTGTGCTTCCTAAGTGCTAGGGTGACAGGCGTGTGCTATGGCGCCCAGCAACGTATTTATTTGCCGCAATCTACAAGGGAGAAAGAGGACTAGTGAGAGGGGTGTACGTGGACTTGGGGCCGGTGAAATGCTTTTATCATTGCAGCACATACTCTGCCTTCATGCGGCCAGCTGTGAAAGCCGCTTTCCACATGTGGCCCTGCAGTTGCTTGAGTGCTGTGGTCTTCCGGTCATGAGACATCTGCCAGGACACATTATCCACCACGGCCTGGACCATCTGCTGCAGCTCATCCGCAGCATTTCCTGATGCCACAGGGATCGGAACAGCCCCATCCAGGTGTGCATCTTCTTCAGCCTTTAAATCAGAAACAGACCAAGTTTACTCATTTGCAGAGCTATACACATATGCCTGCGCACACACATACACCCATGCATGCATCTATTTTAAAAAGGTACAGCAAAACCAGGCAGATCAGTTTTTTCCAACTATCAATTATCCAGAGAACTGCTAAAAATCATTCTTAAAGGAATGAGCTGGCAAAAAGGGATCGCTAGGTAAAAAAACGCACTTGCCACTAACACTGATGGCCTGAGTTCAATCTCAGGGACCCTCGTGACCAAAAGGAGAGAGATGTCTCTCTCAAGTTATGCTCTGACCTCCACAAGTGCACCATGGCATGTGCACACACACATACGCATAATTAAAACAAACTCACACACATATACATAATTAAAACAAATTCATATACTAGGACATGCAATACATGAAATGAGCATAAAATACTTATGTATGGAATCTCCTTTTTTGAGACAATAAAGATTAAGGGGAGTATTTCAGATTAACCTCAAGTTATTCAGGAAACTCCGCAAACTCAAATACTGCATGATTCAATGGATGGCACGATTATTTCTAATCCTAACTCCTCACCATAAATAAAAGACGTGTGGACAGCATTCTACAATCCAGTGTGGGAAGTCTGCTGGTAAGGGCTGCACAACATGAAGATCTTTGCCACCGAAGTCAGCACACTATTCTGAAGAAGTTCACAGACCGCTAGAGAGCAGTCTGCAGACTGCGCCAAGGATAAACCCATTGGGAAGTTTGGCAGGGTGGCAAGATTCCAGGACCCGTGAGCACTGTAAAGGGGGCAGTTTCATGCCCTGAGGTGGGACAGTAGGAAATGACAAGGCGCTGTCACCTGGTGACATATATGAAATGTGATGACACTGCACAAGACCTTTTGTATTCCACCAGAAAGGGCTGATTTTACAAACACACAAGGCTTCCAAGCTATCTGAACAGCTGCTGACAGACGCAATTCTGCAGACAACAAATTGCTGTGACTTGCTTGTTTTATTACAGGCTGTGAATCACTAGGCAGGCAAGTCACTGCAGCTTCTAGCCCAGGATCCAGTGTGCTGACAGCGTGTTCCAGGTCTCCAGGCATCCTGCACTGAGACTCTGGGATGGGCAAGAGGGAGGTCCTCACCTGTTTCCTCAGCAGGCTGACATCCTGCTGACACTCCTCCTCATCCCAGTGTGTCTGCAGGTACTCCTTAATGTTTTCTTTGATGTAAGGGAATAAAGTGTCCTGACGGAAAAAGGGGGAGAGAGACAAGAAAAAAAGAATGTTATTTTTTAAACTGTATCATATGATCCGTTTTATAATCTCACCTTAACTAACAAATTCAACAACGGAAGTCTCAATGGAGATTGCTGCTGTGGGTCTCCCAGTGGGATAGGAAAGAAGACTGAGAAGCAGGTATACTGATATTTATGAAGTTTTATTGGGATTTGGCCACAGTCATTTACTTACATAGTCTCTGGCCACAAAGGCAGAGCTGAGATCATTTAGTCCACAAAGCCTAAAACCAGCTCCCCAGCCCACAGAGTCTTTTCCTTAGCTCGCTTTGCTTCTGTTTCTTTTTTTTTTATTTTGTGTGTATGGGCGTTTACCTTTGTATGTATGCCCACAGAGGATGTCAGATTCTCCTGGAATTGGAGTCGGACATTATAAGCCACCATGTGGGTGCTGGGAACTGAACGTGGGTCCTTAGCAAGACCAGCAAGTGCTCTTAACCACTGACCCTCTCCATCCCGAGGCCAGGCTCTTGAGGCATGGATTGACAGTGCCTTACTCAAAGTACACCACGGTGTATGACTGGTATACACATGATAATGGCAGCCACATGGCAATGTAGAAAGGAAGTAAGTGGCTTCCTTGGTCCAGACTTCCTGCAGAGCACTCTATTGCAAGTATGCAGCCAGGCATGATGCCGCACACGTGTGTAAGCAAGCACTTGGGAGACTGAGACAGGAGGAATGCCTCAAGAGTGCTTTAACCTAAGATATACACTAAGTAAACCCTAGGCCAGTCTGGGCTACAATGTCAGACCCCGTCTCAGAAAAACAAAACAAAAAGGGTGAGACAGAAGACCAAGTTATAAGCAAAGTAATTCATTAATAATAACATGTCAGTAACTCATGTACTGAGAGTATAGTCTCTCATTGATCAAATTTTGTTTATTAAGAAAACTGGCTGCTCTCAAAGAAAACACAAATTCCGTTCCCGCATTCACATGGCTCTCACACCATCTGCAACTACAGATCCAACGGACCACACGCCCTCTTCTGTCCTCCTAGCGTACTTGCAAGCATGCAGTGTACAGACATACAAGCAGGCAAAACACCCAAAATAAAGGTTTGTTTTTTAAAGTATTGTTCAGTGCCCAGAACTGAACCCAGGACCCTGTGCCTGCTAAGCACAACCTCTCCTGACACACTAAACTCTTGCCTCCTCTTTAGTTAACATGTCTACATATACATACATCTTCTCAATCATATCACGGCACATCTAACAGCTTCTTTTAAACGTCTACTATTATCAAGGTTTGGTAACTGATGCGTGAGGAGAGAGTGGAGAAGCGAGTTAACAGAGGGCACAGCCACGACTGCCAGTGAGCTCAAGGAGCTGCAGTCACAAACACATTTTCCTGCAGTGCGGAGGGGGAGCAAGCCAGGTGCAGTGCGTGCCCTGCAGGTCAGGATGAGGAGAAGGTGCAGCCACAGTCTTAGGCTTATGCTTGAGTGCAGAACCCACGAATACACTGCAAAGGTCTTATGTTTTAAAGGAAATTCTATAAGGAGCTAAATCCAAGAAGCCTGATTAAATCCACTCTATGTATTCAGAAATCTTGAGATGTGGTTCACATTTGCAATCCTTATGCCTTGGCCTCCCTCATTATAGGTATATGCCACCATGCCTGGCTAAAAGGTACTTTAATACAGTCTACAAAAATAAATACATAGGGTTTGGTGGGGGGTTGTTTAGTTTTGTTATTTAAGTTTGCTATGTAGTCCAGGCTAGCCTAGAATTCCCGTTCTCCAGCTTTGGCCTAGTGAGTGATGGTACTAGGACACAAGCTACCACGCCCAGCTCACATACTCTCATTTTGTCCTGGCAAAGAAACTGAAGGAAAGCTTGGGGAGAATGGAAACAGAACCTATCACAGATTCTAAAACTATTCACTCACAACCCTGGAGTATTCTGAGACCTTCTAGGGAACATGAAAAGTCAAAGCACTCCCACAGAACACTAAGATATTGATACTGTCAATGATAAAAACACCTTTCTAGGTTAGCAGAGTGACTCCCTCCCTCTTTCCCTCCCTCTTAGTGAGAGTATGCAGGGGGTTTTCCATAGACCATGGATGTACCACAAAGACCAAATACAGCCATGAGAACCCAGACATTGGGGATGCTCTTGGAGAGGACCCAGGTTCTGTCCCCAGCTCTCACATGGTGGGTCACAACTACCTCTAACTCCAATTCCAGGGGACACACTACCCTCTTTGGGGCACTGCATGTAATGTACACATATATTCAGGTAAAAATACCCATACACAAGAAAATAAATAATAATTAAAGATTCTAGATATCTTCAATAACAGATGCTCAAGGGATATACAAAAATACATTCCTTTTATTAGCCTTAAATATCACGTCTAAATCAAGCCCACCTTCCCTAGGACACAGGGAACATCTCATGGGAGAGGAGGCAGAAAGAACGCAACAGCCAGAGGATGGGGAGGAGTGCTGGGAGATGCAGTCCTCTGAACATGATGTTATCTGCACAAGATCAAGTCAGCCAACGTTCCAGCATGGAGGGGGTAAGGGCATGCCAGAATCTGTACCTAAAAAATGACCTACTGGTTGCTGGCTGTTCCAATTTCCATTGCTGTGATAAAACATTCTGACCAAGACTAACTTAAGGGAAGATTTATTTGGCTTATACTTCCATGTCACAGCCCACCACTGTGCTGGCTAGTTTTATGTCAACTTGACACAAGCTACGGTCATCAAAGAGACAGCAACCTCAATTGAGGAAATGCCTCAAGGTTCAGCTGCAGGCCAGCCTGTAGGGCATTTTCTTAATTAGTGATTTATGGGGGAGAGCCCAGTCCGTTATGGATGTTGCCATCCTTGGGATGGTGGTCCAGTGTTCTATAAGATTGAGCAAGCCAGTAAGCAGGAGCCTTCCAGAGCCTCTGCATCAGCTCCTGCCTCCAAGTCCCTGCCCTGCTTGAGTTCCTGTTCTGACTTCCTTTTGAGGCTAAATAAACCCTTTCCTCTCCAGGTTGCTTTTTGTTTCACCACAGCAATAGAAACCCCGAGTAAGACAACCACAGAGGGAAGTGAGCGCAGGAACTCAAGCAGGAGCATGGAGCAAAAGCCCTGGAGGGCTGCTTTGCAGGCTCAGTGTGCCAGCTTTCTTACACAGTCCAGTGAGCAGAACCCCACCCCCCATCAATTAGTAATCAAGATAGCCCCCTCAGGCCACTCTAATGGAAGCAATTACCCCACCAAAGCTTTCCTCTCTGATGACTCCAGGCTATGTCAAGCTGACAAAGCTAGGCAGGACAGTCCTGCTCCAGTGGCTGCCCCACACCTGTTACCCTGAGCACATGGGAGCACACTGTGGACCCAATGGCATATGATTTCCCAAAGAGGAGAATATAGAGTTGGGAAGGGAAATGCTGGGGTTGTAGACGTCAGAATAGTTGGTAGGTGGTGTAGGGAGGCAGGCAGACCCAGGACTTTTTCAGAGCCCCAAAGAAAGCACAAAGGGAAGGTTAGTCAGGGTCCTTGTCCAGGAGTGGACTTGGCCAAGGCCGCTCTGAGGCTGCAGACACTGCCTCAGAGGAGTCAAGGTTGTAGTTTCTGGGGGTCCTCCGCTTCCTCCCTGGGCTGTTGTTATCAGTCATATGGCAGCTGAGTCATAGATATCTTGTGCTGTCTTTGACAACATTGTCTAATTTGGCTCTCTGCTGACCTTGGCCATTTTTCCCTTGCAAACAGTATAAAAGATGCTGTACTTCTTAATAAACATGCTTGGCATAAAACAAAGCTTGTGCAAAATCACCAGACCCCAGCAAGACCTCCAGACCCCAGCAAGACCTCCAGACCCCAGCAAGACCTCCAGACCCCAGCAAGACCACCAGACCCCAGAAAAACCACCAGACCCCAGCAAGACCTCCAGACCCCAGCAAGACCTCCAGACCCCAGCAAGACCACCAGACCCCAGAAAAACCACCAGACCCCAGCAAGACCTCCAGACCCCAGCAAGACCTCCAGACCCCAGCATTTATCTTCTCATCCCCTGGCACCTTCCCATCAGGACTTTGTCGAGGTCCAGGTCAGGGTGGAAGTGACTAAAATTATTTATGTATATTAATAGATAAAGTATTGTTTAAAAATGCACTCTTCTAGCTGGGCAGTGGTGGTACAGGACTTTAATACCAGCACTCAGGAGGCAGAGACAGGTGGATCTCTGTGATTTCGAAGCCAGCCTGGTCTACAGAGCAAGTTCCAGACCAGTCAAGGAGAAGCCTGTCTTGAAAACAAAACAAAACAAAAAGAAAAAATCACTCTTCTAACATATTTCCCCAAACAAGCACTGTTCACACTGATATTCATGTTAACAAAGTACTGGGGTTGACTGCTCCTATTTAAAAAGAAAAGTCCTTAGCCAAGTGTGGGGAAGCATGAGTTCTAAGCCAACCAGAGCTACACAATGAGATCTTATCTCAAAACAAAACAAAGTAATAATATTAATAATAATTAATGGGCTAGAGAGATGGCTCGGCCATTAAAGGCTAGGCTCACAACCAAAAATATAATAATAAAAAGTTGTCTATTGCTCAGTGTTAATTCCAATATGATAAATACATAATCAGAACTAGAGGTTAAACATTAACCCAGAGTAATTTCCACACAGATACGTTGTGATAGGAAAAGGCTCTCAGGCAGGGTCACCTGATCTACTCAGTGCAAAAGATGCCACATTTCAAATATTTTCATAACTCTGAGTGGTCAGAGGGCCCTGCAAAAATACACTCCTATTCCTGGCAAAGTGGGCTCATGATGCTATGTAATTAGAACAGGCACTCCAACCCACACAGCAGCAGCACATGCTACCATCATGTGTGGAAACACAACTCACACCTCTTCTGATCCCACCTCCAGGACCAGCCTCCTCCAAGTGTGCTGCAGGTAACACTCCCCACTCTCTTCACTTGGCCTCCTCCAAAG